CCCCAACCCCAACCCCAACCCCAACCCCAACCCCAACCCCAACCCCAACCCCAACCCCAACCCCAACCCCAACCCCAACCCCAACCCCAACCCCAACCCCAACCCCAACCCCAACCCCAACCCCAACCCCAACCCCAACCCCAACCCCAACCCCAACCCCAACCCCAACCCCAACCCCAACCCCAACCCCAACCCCAACCCCCAACCCCAACCCCAACCCCAACCCCAACCCCAACCCCCCAACCCCAACCCCAACCCCAACCCCAACCCCAACCCCAACCCCAACCCCAACCCCAACCCCAACCCCAACCCCAACCCCAACCCCAACCCCAACCCCAACCCCAACCCCAACCCCAACCCCAACCCCAACCCCAACCCCAACCCCAACCCCAACCCCAACCCCAAAAATGAAATAAACTAAAGAGAAATTATTTTTAAATAAAATATATTAAATAATTTGAAAGATTTGCTAATAAATTCTGAATAATTAATTTTTTAGCTTAAATTTTAATAAAATAAAAAATATCTTTGTCAAATATTTATGAAACTATTTTCAAAATGAAATTTAAAAAGAAGAAATTTTAAATAATTAAAAAGTAAATGTCCTTTTTAATATTATTAAAAATAAATTAAAAAATGATTAAAAACCCAACCCTACTTCTTACCTAATTTTATGAAAATATTTTAGAGTTTTTAATGATCGCATTTTATTTTTTCACAATACTTAATTATTGTCATATTATTTAATTTAGAAGTAATTAAACATTTTAAATTGTAATTTTTAAATAAATAATATAATTTGATTATAATGCTATTTAAAATGCTTATAAAAAAGTTCAAACATTCCTAAAAATTAATAAATGAAAAATAATAATAAAAAATATTATTAAAATTATAACTTAATTATATTTTATTATCTTTATTGCATAAATTAATTACTAATAAAAAACAATCACTTAATTTTTAACACTTTTATTTGTAATAAATAAATAATATCTTTGGTAGTAGCAAAAAACATTTATCTTCTCTTTATTTTTTTAAACATAATATATTTAGTGGATGCATAATAAAATATAATTAAATATCAAATTTAATAGTGATCTACTTTTTTATTTTAAAGTAAACAAACAAAAAATAAGATTTTATTACAATAAGGGGGAAAGATGAAAGAAAAAATAAAATATATACTAGCCTTATTGTTTAAAAATTACTTATAAAAAATTTGTCTCCATAATTAGTAAAAAACAAGCTAAAGATAATTGTCAGAAACTTAAATTCCTTTTGAATACTAAAGCTAATTATTAGAAAAAAAGATTTCTAAATAAAAACCAAAATATTTCCTCTATTTAAATAAATTATATTATCAAAATTTAGACTTTTGGTAAAGCGCTAATAAAATTTCTATATTTAAGAGATACTAAAGTAAAAATTCCTAAAATATTAAAAATGTTTCAAATGCAGCTTTGAATATAAATTAGTGCTGCATTAAAAAATAATTAATTTCATAACTTCTAAATAAGTTTATTTATAAAGAGCTGATATTGATTTTATTTAACTAAAGGAAAGAAATTTAATCTACTAAAAATTTCAAACATTTACTCAAATTATGATTAAAGAAGTATTTAAATCCATGTAGTTATTTAAAACAAACAAGTTTTAAAAATTTAAAAATATTTACGCTTAAACATATTATTAATTTTTACTTTGTAAATGAAAAAAAATAAAATCAGAATGACAAATTGTATCATAATATAATTATTTGCTTGTTTTAAATATAATATTATGCAAAAATATTTGATATTTCATAAATATTAAATAATTTGCTTGTTTGTTAATAATCTTTATAATTTATCATTTAATTTTATATTATTTTTGAATTTAAGATTCTTTATTTCTTTTTAATTTATTTGAATTCAATTTTTCTTCATACTATTTTTCTGGTAGTTAATAATTAAAAATTATTAAATAAGGAGATTGAAAAACTTATTAATTTCAAATTATTATTTATAACTTAACTTTATTTGTTTATATTTATTTTAAAATCTTTTTTTACTTTCTAAGAGAAATAAGTTTTTATTAAGAAACTTTTATAAAACTTCTTTTAATTTAAAGATTTTGACAATCTAAACCTTTGATCAATTCTAAGTAAAATTTTAGAAGATCTTAGGCTGATTTGATTAGATTTCTCTTTTTATTTGGATAATTTAAAAACTTGTGGAGATTGGATTTAAAAATCTTTCATCAATTAAGATTGAAAGCAAAAATCATTTTTATGTGTTCTCATTCGCTCGTAAGCTCGTTTTCATTTTTACTTGATCAAGAAAAATGTAAAGAACTATAAAAAACTTAGCGCAGAATAAAATATTTATTATTCTTTTGTTTTAAAAAGAGGTAAAAACTAATCAAATTGTTTATTATTTCCTTTTTCCTTTTTATTAATAACTAATATATAGTTTTTTAAATATTTATATTTATTGATAAATAAATTCTGTTAATGAGGAATTAAGAAAATTGATTAAGAAAAAGATACAAATGTAAATAAATTTTCCCTCCCATTTAGATTTAATTTCTTTTGATATCTCATTATTTTTTGAATTTGAATATTTTATATTGTTCATGATATTCTACTTCAAATAATATTTATTGATAAGAATTAATGATGCAGAGAGATACATTTTTATTTAATAAATAAATAAATTATTTATTTATTTTTATGTAGTATTTTTGTTAGATATTTAAAAGTTCATAGAGAACAATTTAATTTAATTTCATTTATAAATTTTAATCTATTATTCAATAGTCGATGCATATTTATTGTTAAATGTAAATTTAATGCTATAATAGAAATCTAATATATTTTTTTAGAAATCTATAAAAACAATTATCTAATAAATTTTAGATGAAAATAAATTAATTATGTAAAAAATATTAAGTCTTTTAATTTATCAAGTATTTAAGATTATTTTATTTAAGGTAAGCTGTATATAAATTTTTTTTTAATATTAAAATTTTAGTTGTATTCACCTGTGATAATAATGCTCTTAAAAAATTTTACTTTTGTAATTTACATTTTATTTTTAGAAATTTCTTTTTTATTAAAATTTTGTGATACTGGTTTTAAAAAATTGTAAAACTTAATGTGTAAATAAATATACATTTTTTAATTGGTTCTGCTTAGCAAAATAATAAATTTATCATTAGTTATTAAAATTTAATTAGTGTAAACCATTCAATAAAAAAAAATTATTATATTGTAAAGAAATAAGCAAGTAAGAACGCACACACATATGCATTAATATATAATGATTGTACACAAAATGTTTGCTAAACAAAAAAATTTAAATTAAACTATTTATAATATAATTTTGTTTTATAGATTATTTGTTCATTTGGTTTTTATGCGTGCATGCATGTATGAGTTATATATGAAAGATGATTAGTTATGTATGTATGATCAAAGCTTGGAATCAGTTTTATGTTAGAGCTATTCTTTCTTTTCTTCTTCGAGTTACTTTTATTCCATTTTATTTTAGAAGTCTTAAAGAGCTTCTTCAAAGATTTAAACTGATTATTTGTAAACTTTATCGAAGGTATCAACGAAAATGTCCATATTTTCAAATGAGTGTTGAGGTTGCAAGTTAAGTCTAAGTCTAGCTTCGTTTTCAGCGACGACAGGATATTCAATACCATTGACGTGAACACCATTATCCATCATCAATCTAGAGACGAGACGGCAAATAATTTCATTACCAATATAGACAATCATGATAGGACAAGGATTACCAATGATTTTGTATCCTAAGTCATTTAATTTCTTCTTGGTGTAGTTGTAGTTTTCAATGCACTTGTTACGGATTTAGTTACCATATTCACTTTTTAAGATTCTTAATTAAGCTAAAGCGGTGTTGCATTAAATAGGATTAACTGCATTGGTGAACATGTATGCAGTGCAATGGACCTTCAAGTATTCAATAACATCAGGATTGTTGCATCCAATAAAACCTATTTATTATAGTTAATATCATATTGAGAAAATGCTTTTAATATATTTTATTAAATTTATTTACCTAAGTTAGTTGAGAGACACTTAGAACCACCAGCCATCAACAAAACATTAGAGAGATCTGTTAAACCTTAAGCTTCCCAAGTACCCTTACCTGTTATAAATTTAAATTATTATTAATCATTGAATCAATAAATTAACTTTAATAAATTTATATTTATATTATTATATAATATTGCAGTTAGCTAAACTAATTTAAATTGATATTTTATCTTTTATTTTGTAGATTATAAATAAATCATATTCAAATAATCTTTTTCATTGATTATTTTTTTAATGTTTGTTTAGCTATTATTATGAAGAATATAATAAAATTTAAAGTGTATTAATTACCAGTTGGACCCATACATCCGAAGTCATGAGCAGAGTCGATCATGAGGAAAGCATCATACTTCTTAGTAATTTTTTAAAGTTCAACGAGGTTTGCAGTATCAGCATCCATAGAGAAGAGACCTTCAGTAACAACGAAGATACCTTCATCAGGGTACTTTTCACGCAATTCCTTGATTTTGGCTTCCATACTTTCATTGCACAAGTGTTTAACCTTATAGATATTCTTTGTGGCAGCCTTAGCACCTTCCAACAAACAGTTGTGATCTAAAGCATCCATAACAACGTGATCGTTTGCCTTGACTAAGCCCTATGGTATTAAAAGAAACAAAATAAATTAACAAGAACAATTGTATTATCAAAGACAATAAGTGATCTTATATCAAAACATATTTGAAAGGCATATTCTTTATACTTAAACCATTAATGATAAAATCTGAAGACAGACTTTTAAAATTTAACAAATATTTTATAAAATTTTGTAAATTATTATTCAGCCATTCATAATGATAGTAATAGTAATTGGGTAGAAATTACACTTAAAATTATTTATTTTTTGATAAATTAACAAAGATAAATTACCTTAATGGCACCGAAACCAGCCAACCAACCAGCGGATAAAAGCATAATGTTGTTAACACCCCAGAATTCTTTTAATTCTTCAACTAATTGATAGTAATACTTATGACCACCAAATGCTAAGGGAGAACCGCAAGAGTTGACACCGTATTCTTAAGCAGCTTCGATAGCAGCCTATTTGGAGCTTTCACTTTAGCTCAAACCTAAGTAATCAGCACTAGCGAAGTTCAAACCATAGAAGCTCTCACCAAATTCATCCATACCATAACATTCAGGACCAGGGGGGCTGAGAGTTCTTCTGCTGTATAAGAATAAGTTGGTGTCCTTGAGGGTCTTGAGCCATTCGCAGAAAGGCTTAATACGTCCAAACATATCTTTACCTCTAGGATGATGATGCTTGTTATAGTCAGAGCTAGTCAATTGTTCTAAATCAACTTTTCTTGAGCGTAATCCAGTGGGATGGGTAGCAGTGGTAGGGAAACTCTTCATTTTTAATTACCTTGTTTTTTTTTTTAATTTATTTAAGCTTTTTGTTTCAACCTTTTAAAGTTCTTTTACAATTTAATTTTTTATATTTTTTTTTTTCGTAAAATCTAAAAATTTTTAGTTACTTAGCTTTTAATTGAAAGTACACCTGGTCTGGTAAGCAAATAATAAAATAGGATAAAACTGTATAATTTCATAGTACGTAGTACGAGATGCAATCCTAATAATATTATCAAAATTTTTAGTTTGGTTGATTGTTTTGCCCTATTTATTTCTTTATTTTAACTTAATAATATTTTAAGATGTCAATCGGGTGTACTCAAATTCCTTCTTCCACATGAAATGAAATTACTTTCAAATATTCTATTTTTTAAATGAATTTATAAATAAATTATCCACTTAAAAAAAATATCTTGACACTCAGTCAGTCATTCATTATTTAACAAAATCAAAAATATCTTAGTAAAAATTTGTTTTAAATATATTTAAATAGTATATCTTGTAATAAAGATAAATACATAAATAAATTGATATATCTTTCTTCCCCAGCTTTCGAAATTTTTAAAATTAGAAATTGCTCTCAACAACTTTTATACTTCAAAATTGTAATTAATCTATTATTTTCAATGCCATTTACTATTTATTTGATATATTTTAGTGAATATAATTGCAAATCCATTTTTTTTATCACTTTTCATTGCTGTAATTATTAAAAGTAATCAAAATAATTAGCGAATTTATTATTTTACTAAAATAGATAGATTTTCTTGCATCTAAAAGGTGACAATTATAATAAAATTTTCGGAATATAATTAATCTATTCAAATAATTTAAAAATGTTAATATGAAATAGAGTCAATTAATTAGTTTTAACATGGAAAGATGTTATTGTAGTATGAAACTCTTTCATATACAATAAAATTATCAATATAAAGTATGTAAAAATGGAGCTATTTTAAACTTTAAAAAAATTAAAGAAGTTTAAAAATACAATTAATTGCTAATTATTGGTATTTAATTATTCACTATCAAATCAAAAATTTACTATTAAACCTTACAACCAATTGTTAATAATAAATTTTTTATTTTATCATTGTTATGAATTTTTAATTGAAAAAATATCGACTTTTTCTAATTATGATTACGTACGTCAGTCGTCAGTCAGATTTTTTGAAGACAATAAATCAATATCTTTCTAAAGCAACTAAATTTTTTATACACAATTATTCGAGAAAACTGTAGATCTAATTCTAAAGAATCTAAAGTGCGTATTAGATTTTCTTTTTTTTTATAATGATCAATAATATTCAAATTTTTTTTAAGAATTATGATATGAAGTGAATTATTTGAACGTATTTGACTAACAAAAGAATTAATATCACTATTAATTTCTTAGACCGCTTATATATTTATACAGTTTACAAAATATTTGACATTTTTTATTTTTAAAAACCCTAGTTTCCATTATTATATTTAAATAATTAAATTGATAAAATAATACACTAAAGTAATTTAATAAATACTAATACAGAATTATGTAGTATTTAAACTTAAAAAAGTTAAATAGAATTTTATATACTTGTCTTTAGAATACGTAATCGCTGAGTAAAAGTTGTAAGATATTTCAAAATTTATTAGTGGTTGAACAATTTATATTATCGATCAGTTTTAATTTTTTTTTTCCCTCCCCTTCTATTGAATTATATTCTTACTTTAATAATATTATTAATCGAATTCTAAAACAACTAATAGAGTTTCTTATTTTATTTCAGATTAAGATCAATTTATTTATTTATTATCCGGGTAATTTTTTCAAAAAGGAAAAAATAACATCTAATTAATTATAAAGTTTTTCTGGATGATTTATCTGATTAAAATAACAATCATAATTAAAACACAAATTTAATCAAAATTTTTTTGTTTCATGAAACTTTGATTATAAATAATTATTTTGAAAAAAAATTCAAAAGAAAAAAAAAAAGTAAAGAGAAAATTATCTTTCTTAAATTTTGAAAAGATTAAAGTTAACACAAATAAATAAGTTTTTAAAATGGAAATTATGTAATAAAATAAAACAAAAAGGAATTACTCAAGCAACCTTTATGATGTCTTTATTGATATTACATCGTATCAAAAATCCTTTATCAAATTTTTTAAGTATCTAAACTTTAATCTGACCTAAATGTAAGAAATATAATCAACATCAGCTATTTTAAAAGCTGCGGAATATCAAAAAAAAAAAACAAACAGAATAAATATAAAACCAAAATCAGCTATAATCTCTCTTGCTTAATTGATACATTAATTATATAAAAAGTATTTTTTAAAAATAATTAGATAAATTGAGAAGACAAGATATCCATAAAAAAAAGAAAACAAATTTTAAATAAATAAAATAAAATACAAATTAATAAATTAATATATAAATAAAATTAAAAAATAAATAAAAAATATAAATACATTAAAAAAATGAATAAATAATAAATAAAAAGAAAATAAACAAAAACAATATTGCAAATAAGAAATAAAATTAAATAATACTAAATACAATAGATATAATCTTCAAAAAAATAAATAATTTAATAGACAATTTATATTTTTCAAATTTTTAAAAAAGATTCACTTTTTCTTAATTTTTAGTTTAATAAAATTAGCTTTGAGGTAATGAAAAGAAAAAATCAATTAAATTATTTAAAAGTAAAGCACTTTTTCCAAACTTTATATTTATGCATATTAAAAATAAAATTCCTTTTGTATCCATAGTTTTTAAAGTAGAATTAAACATGTTTTAAATAAAAAACAATATTCTACAAATAGTAGTTCAAAAATTTCTAAAATTATTCTGTTAAAAATTATGTTCTATCTAATTTATCAGCTCATAATTAAAATGAAACTCAATAATATTATATAAAACTAATAACTATAAATTTTCAATAATAAACTCAATATAACATATAAATTTATAATATTAACATACAAATCTATAAAATAAAAAAGTCTTTTATTATGATTTTAATATTATTTGGTAAATTCTATTTAAAATGAATTAAATCTTTGTTATTTTCAAAAATTTTATAAAATAATTCATTAACTAAAAGCAAATATTAAAGTTTGCTTTACCAAAAGTTTCTAGTTAGGAAATGCATGAGTACTTCATTAATATCATTTTTTTAAATAATCTATTATAAATAATTAAAGTAATATTTTAACATTTCTTTTTCGCAAGTTTCTTTAAAAAACGAAGCTAAAAATATATAATAGCTTTAATAATATCTATTTTTTTATTGAAACTTCTATTTTGTATTATTAAAAGATGTACATTAATTCATCTAAATTATTTAAATGCTAACTTTTCAAAAAATTCTTTATTTGATAGTTTTTCAAATGATAAAATGATAAATTATAAAAATGAAAAAAAAATTTATTTTATTAAAAAATTTTTTATAACTTTGTTTAATTTGTTTATTTATATTTTTTAAAATTTAATTAATTTTTAATTATTTTATTTTATTAGTATTTGATGGTTATATTAAAAATGATAGTTTATGTATTAAATGTGAAAACAAATGAAAAAGATTAAAAATTGTTTGATTTATTTTATTAAGAAAAAATATTTGTGTTTAATTAAGAAAATAAATTGTTTGATTTGCAAAAAACTTTAACGGATTCTGAAAAGAAAATAGATAGTTAAAATTTATGAATTAAATAAATAATTAATATCATCTTAATTTTAATAATAAATAAATTAATAAAAAAACAACATAATAATAAAGATAGCAATAAATAACATAATTTTTTAATGACTTAGTTTTTAAATTGGTTAAATTGCAAAATATTTAACTCGTAGAATAATCTTTTAAGAATGTGTAGCTATTTAATAGCTTTAGTGTGTGGAAGTATTATTCTACAGATGAGCAAAGTTTTTTACATATTCATAACTACTTATCTAATGTTAAATTAGAAATCAAGTATGATATTAATAGATGAAAGTTATTTAAAGCTATAATAAAAATATAAATAAACTGTATAATCAAAACATCAAATAAAAAACAGCCAACCAATCAACTTTTTTCCCAATTTTATTTTTAAACCAAAGCTAGATTTTATAATAGGACTTTTTATTTTTATTTTTTGATAGCAATTTATTCTTTTCTCCATATAAAATATTGAATTTTTTAGGAATCTATAATCTAATAAAAGAAAAATAAATGAGATTGAGATGCATATTATATCAAAATGAAAGAGAAGAAGAAGATTTAAAATAAACAAATGAAAATAAATTAAATGAAATACAAATATTTAAAAAGAATTAACAAACATAAATATCAAAAAAAAATAAAATTTTATAAATAAAATTATTAATAACCCTAATACAATAAAAAAACAAACAAAACATATAATTAATTAAAAAAAATATCAAGTTTTTTATTATAATAAATCAATATCTTGAATTTATTTTTCAGGAACGTTGACAATCAGATCATCTTAAATTTGACTATGCAAAAACTTTTAATCATATTGGACGTCATACAAAAATAGTCCTTCTGGTTTGGCTTTCAGTCTAATCAAATTTCTTCTTTCATCTTAAGGAATAAATCCTGTAGGATTTAGTAGATAGTTCAAGTAGTTTTCATCTATTTTTTTTTATGCATAAAGGACTGCTATTCCTACCATGTATCTTACTTGGTACTTTAAAAATCCTTTACCTTTTACACTGATTCTTATTGATTAAATCTTCGGAAAATGTCTTTAATATTTTTAAATTAAATTATTTTACTCTAAATTTATTAAAATTTATAATTTTGATGATTTTCTTAAATTGTTTTTCTTTAAGCTAAAATAATGAATAAATAAATTATTTAAAATATTGATTACTCATTAGGATAATGTGTAATTTCAAAAGAATTAAGTTCTTTTTCAAACAAATCAAATTATGTTTAGAAAGGCTCTGGACTAGTAAACAAATAAAAATTATGTCTTCCTAAGTATTTTTGAAAAGCTTATTTTAGTCTATCAATATCTATTTAATCAGGAATGCACCAGGATTACTTATAAAAAAGTAAAGGATTTTCCCAATTATAGCCTACTTAGCTGTCGATGTAGAATACATATTCTCTTTTTAATATAAAAATCTTAGTCTTTGTTGAAATAATAATTAAATTAAAACAGTGTGTTTTTTCGTTATAATTAATGATTATTTAAGAATATTTTGTTTATTAAAACTAAGATGATTAATATAATTTATGTTAAGAATAAACAAAAACATTGCTAAATACTTTTGTAAGCAATCATTCCTGACATCAAATTCCATGGGGACCTAGTAAACTTCGTTTATCGCAATTTAGTCACCAGCATCTCTTAGATAAAAGTTAACACCTCTCTAAACAGTCAGTAGATCCCAAATTTTTTTCTATTTTTTTTTATTTTATAAGTCATAATAATAAATTATGCATGTTTTACTTTAGAGTCTCTTTGAAGGACAAATTAAACTGGATGCTTTCTTGCATTTACTCCAACATCAGTTCTACTGGAAGATTTTATAAATACTTCTTGCTTGGCAAAATTATTCAAAGATTACTAGTTTTTTATATTTATATTAATTGATTCTTTCTATCTTCTTTGAATATCAATATCAAAATGTTTGAGTGAAGGAACACATAGATCATTTTTGATTAAAATTTTACTTAGATAGAATCTTAAATAGTTTTAAATCGTTATCCTTCTAGTATTTGATATTAAAATCCATGATAGTTTCTCCCTAAGTAAGAAAAAAATGCTAAATATTTTATTTTCTTCATCGACATAAGTAGCACAATAAGTAGTTTAAGATATGTTAGTAAATTTTAAGAAATTTCAAGAAATTAATTAAGGTTTCTTATTAATCTATTTTCTAAAAATAGTCAACCAATCTTTAGTTAAAATGTTAGTATCAATATAATTTTATCAAGCCATCATTAAAAACTATTTTTTTTATCCTATTTAAATAATTACAAATATTTTTTTGATATAAAAATCAAGTTAATCAATAGTTGAAATTTACAATAAAATAGTTAATATTATTTAAATTAATTATATTAAAAAATTACCAATATATTTTAAAATAAATTAATACTATGTTTTTAAAATAATAAAATTATATAAAACAAATTCATTTGATTAAATTAAAAATTTTATAATTTGAGTAAAAAATATTTTTATTATTTTTTAATTTAAATAAAATCTATCATTAAATAAAATTTTATTTTCTTTAATTCATCTAAACATAAAGAAAATGAAATTTTCTTTCGTTAATTTTTTTTATCTCTTAAATTGTAATTACTAATTTTTTCTAATTATAGATTTCTTTTTTATTAAAAAAATATTTAATAAAAAAAATACTGAAATAAATTCATTTGATGATTATCATTCAGCTGATGTTATTAATATTTAAGATACCAATAATACATATTAATGGTTTTAAATGTTTTGATACGAGATTAATAAAATTACAAAGATACAATAAGCGATTATTATCAAAGTAAAATATTAAAATAATATATCCATTCATTTACTAGGCTTTTTTTCGCAAATCGCTGATATTAATTAAAAGCAGTAATATTACAGCTTTTTTATCCATATAAAGAGTTTATATCAAATTGAAAAATTAATTAATATCAAAACTTCTATTTATAAACCAATTTAGAAAGCTATTTTAAAATTATTAAATGGAAGAAAAGCACGATTAAAATATAGAATTGAATGTAAAAGATACTATTTTTACTAATCTTCTAGTTTATCATTAAATTTACTGAAAATCAACTAGGATATAATACATACACTCAAAAAATCTTTTGAAGAGAGAAATGCAATTGAGATTGAAAAACTTTAATAGTAGACCAAGGATATACCATTTTTCAAGCAATACATTAGTTAAGGCGATAAAGATGGTAATTATAATTGTTTTAAATCAAAGATGTTTTAACATAAAATATATAATTAAAAAAATATTTCACAAGCAGCTTATAAAATTACTATATCATTAAATAACTAGTTCATTATAAATGCTGTAAATATATGAAGTATGAGTATGCAAAAAAAGATGAAACTATTTTTCTGATTGGTAACTTATAATTAATAACAATATATTATCAACAATAAATACATTTTATAGATACTATTGGAACCAAATTTTATTTGATCCTCAAGGGAAAAGTGGGTGTTTATATTAGACTTCCAAAATAAGTAAATATCTAAAATCAAGACTCTCCTGATAAAAAATAAGAAGATGATGATTCTTTAACATGCGTTAAAGTATTAAATTAAGGAGAGGCTTTTGGTGAATTAGCTTTGTTAAATAATAAGCCTCGTTTAGCAAGTATTATTGCTCATGAAAATACATATCTTGCTGTCCTTGATAAAAAGGAATTTGGGATAATTCTTAAAGAAAAAGAAGAGTAAAAGCTACTTAAAGAAATGGGCTTCTTTGCAAAGTTGCCATTTTTCAATGGATGGAATTTTAATCTTGTAAAGTTACTATACTTAAATGCCTTTAGAGTTAAATATAAAAAAGGAGATATCGTATTTCAAGAGGGGTAAGAACCAGTAGCAGTTTATATAATCACAGATGGTTAGTTTGATGTAAATATAGAATAACTTTTCTTTTAACACATTTTAAAAATATTTCAAGTCAATCAAATTTTATTCAATATTTTTAGTAGAAAGTAAATTAATTTTTCTCGTTTGTTTTTACTGAATAATAATATTTTCGTGGAAATAAATATTTTGTGATATTAAATAAGTCAATTACTTAAAAGTCAAAAAAACTTATTTTCTTAAATATTTATAAATATTTAGAGCTTTATTATTTAGTATTTACAAAATTAAAAAAAAAAATTATTTCTGTATTTCAAATAATATCTTTTTATAAAAAGTTAGAGAAAACCTTTGATAAGGAAAAGAGGCTAGATTTTTGGGAAAGCGATAATACTAATCCGATCAAAAATATGAGACTAGCCTCAAAAAAAGCTAAAATGAACTTAAGGGTATTTTTAATATTATTTAATTAAAAACATGAATTAACAATGTACATTTTATGTTATCAATTTTAATTGTTTTTTATTGAATTTATTTAAAATCTATATTTTTTTAATATTACTAAATTATATTGTCGATAATTATTATTTTATTCTAATTACTTATCCACTCAAAAAAGATTGCCAGTTATGTACCTCATGAATTATTTGGTGAAGAAGATATTATGAATTAAAATCATAAAAGAACTTTTAGTGCTATTTGTGAAAGTGCTACAGGAGAGTGTATTATGATTAAAAAAAGAGATTTTTTCATAAGAATTTTAAAAGAAGAAGGAGCTAAATAATATCTTAAACAGAGGTTATAAAATAAAAACAATAGAATGATGGAGAAAATTTAGAATATTAGAAACTCTATTTATAGTTTTTAGAATTTTTTATACAATGATCAAAACGGTTTAAAGAAGCAGAAGGAATAAAATTAAGAGATTTTCAAGAACGAAAATTTCAGTTAAGATGCAATAAAAAAATTTGTCAACAATTAAGGGCATGCATCAAATTTTTAAATTGATAAGGACTCACATCCTAAAGAATCTCCTTCCCCCACAGAAGTTGGAAGTCCAGATTATATTACAAGTCCTTTAAAATAGCCGTATGCTAGAAGATCTATGACATCATTTATGAATTTATTCACAAATAATTAAACTGAATAAAATCCTCCTATAATACCTATTTTTGAGTATAAAAGGTAGAGTTTAGCTGCCAATACAGAGTAATTTAGCCCTTTACTAAAGTAAATAAAACAATAATAAGGTAATGGAGAAAATAAAAATATTTTGAGATTATTTTCAAATCTCAACCAAAATACTGAGACCTTATCACCCCAAAAAAGTTAAATCGATACGCTAGAAAAAGACTATGTTAGATCGAATAAAAAAAATTTCACTTCTTAACCTAATTCTAATTAAGCTTCATTAGTATATATAAAGAAATTTTCAGCTGTTTTTGATGAGGAGAAATTCAATAATTTTAAATTATCATTAAAAAGGAATAAAAGTTAAAATAATCATTTTAACGGCTAAGATCAAAGTAGTAAGCACTAAAATACCAATCCATCAAATGATATAAATTCTTATTCTTTGATAGATTTACCAGATATAATTTAGTAAAATAGTTAGTTAATTGTATAAAATTAAGATTGTGATTAAAAAACCTCTGCAAACTCATTCCCTGCTATCACTTAAGCAATAGTTGAAAGCAAAAATCCAAACGATAGCTCTTATTCCTCTAACAAAGATTCAAGTGGCCGCTAATCATGCTTATCTCCTTCATCTCCCTAGTTTAAAAAATATATATTTAACTCTCCTTAAAAGGAAACAAATTTTAACTCGGAGAATAAAAAGAAGGCAAATTAATTAATGAGCCATAATAGCGAATTGACAGTGCCAAATAAATTTTCTTCTATGTCTAATGTTTCGACTAATAAAAAATAGCAACAATAAAATTAAAAAATTAAAATATTTGAAAATTTGAAATAAAAGATAGTATCATAAAACTCGTTATCTCACCTTAATGCTTATAGCGATGATAATAGATTATCTAAAGATGAAAGTAAAATATTAATAGAAGAAAATAAGTAACACATTAACAGTAAAAATGTTTCAATAATTCTTCCTAAAATTATAATTAATTCAGAATAAAATCATTAAGAAAAAAACATAAATACTCCGATAGCAAACAAAATAAAGTCCTTAGTTTCAGAAGAAATATCTTAGTATAAGTTAATAACGCCAAATCATAAAAACTAAATACATTTTAATTAATCTTAATAAACTAATACAATAACAGATAGATAGAGAATTACTTAGTCTGTAGGTAGAATAAAGTAATCTTCTCTTTATTTTAACTAAGTTTTCTAAGCTAATACAGAAAATCAGTTGAGCAAAAACATCAGATAAAATTCTTCATTAGACAGATAGGTACAAAACCTATAATATGCTAAAAATCAAAAATAACAAAACACAACCAATCAAATAGCATAAAATAATAACACAAATGGATCTGTTGTGTCCCCTAAAAGAAACATTAAGTAGAAAGGATGGAACTAAAATAAACCTAGCTCTGAATAAAGTAATTTGTACTATAAGTAACATATATAAGCAGGACAAAGAATAGGAGATCTAATAGAAAAAATGATAATGAAGCAATAAGAAAAATCATAAAGGACACTTGAAAATCTTCACAATAATTCATAAATAACTAAATTTGATGAAGTACATAAATAAAATTTATTCAACAATAGTATATTATAGAAAAGCTATTTAAAAAGTAATCCTTCAGTTACTAAACTCATTTAAGCAGACAAAGATGATGTCTAGAATTCATTATTTAATTAACTAAAACATCATATTAGCATAGGAACTCAATTTTCTTCTTTGATAAAATAAATTGATCAGAATAAAGTGTAAAAATTACCTCAAAACTCTCTACAAAATAAAATAGTATAAAATTTATAATAAAATAAAAATTGATTTTAAATTATTAAAAATATATTAAATTTTGTTACATACAAATCAAGTTTGTTTTAAAATACTTCACAATTATGATTTATTTTATTATATTTTTTCTTTTTATTTTTATTTAAAATAATTTTTTATTCCAAATCACTGATCTTAATTATTCAAATTGGTATTTTATTTTATATAATTTAAAGATTTGAAAAAAGGTTATCTAAAAACCTAACTTTAAAGTCAATTTATCAATTATTTTATTAACACATAAAAAAATTACTGATTGATTTATTACTTTAAAAAAATTTAATTTTAAGAGGATTAATAAAGGGTAACGTTATCATTATTACTTTTTTAAAGTTGAGTTAAGGATATTCGATTTATCAGTAAATTATGTAAAAATCAACTTTTCTTTTTATTCTTTTTTATTAATAATTCTTAATGAGAAAGTAATGATTTTTGAATTTTGTTTTATAAAATTTAAAGATTTAATTTCAAAAAATTATCTTAAAACCAAATTTTAAAGAAAAGTAATCAAAATTCTTTTAGTAAGTTATTAAAATTATTTATTTATAACTTAAGTAAATTTAATTTTAAAGAGGGTTAATTAAGAGTAAATATCTCATAATTACTTTTTAAATTTAATTAAGGTCATTTATTTTAGTAATAAATTAACTAATAATACTATTTCAGTTTTACCCTTAAATTTTTCTATCTCAAAACCAAATTTATTTTGCTAAAAATTAGTAAATTTTTTTCCTTTTCTTGTTTACATTTGTCTACTGAAGATATTACTAAAATAAATAAGCGATTAATCTTAATCACATTCACTGATACAAAAATTAATAAATTAAATATCTTTAATACTGTATCTTTAAAAGTATAAATATGGTCTTTGTAAAAATTATTTAGTGGAGGATTTAGTTTATTTTAAATTATCCTTTCAAAAAGAAAGAGTAATTCAAGATAAATGAAAGGCTATTATTAAAATCATAAAAAATTACATGGATGACAAAATTTAGAAAGAATTTTAATAGCCAATTAATGTGCTTAGTAAAAATGCAAGTTTTAATTACTTAGTAGGTAAGAAATTATATACAAATTAAATTGGTGGATTTTTCAAAACAATATTAAACTAATTAAGTTCATTATCCTAAAAATTTATTAATTTAAATTACTGAATTACTAAATTTTAATAGCATCAAACATTTAGCTAAATATTAACTTAAATAAGACAAATCCATTTAGATTTTAGATTATACTAAAATGAAATCCCTATCGCCTGATTCAAAACAGCTACAAGTGTGATTTTACATACATAACAGTTCAAATATAGACATTTTAAATAAATATTATTTGATAAAATAGTACATCATCAAGCTACTTCAAGTAGATCCTGAGCAAAGAACAAACAAAATGATATAAAACTTAATAAAAGATGACAGCTATTTTCCTCAATTATCTAACTACCTTCCTCAATAAGAATAAGAAGGTATCTATACTCACTTTTTATAATGTTTAGTTTTAGTAGCAGTAGCTTTCAACATATTTACACCTACTTTTATTTACAAATAGTTAAAATATAATGTTTGAAATACATGAGATATGAATTCTTTAATGCAAATACAGCTGTTTTTAATATAGGTATCTTTGATTTTAGTTTTCAAAAATAAAAATCTTAATTTTTTTGCTATTTAGATGAAAAAGGTGATAAATTTTACCTCATTTTATCGGGAATAGTAGGAGTATTCATTCGTAAAAATAAAGACGACTCTGCTTTATACAAAGTAAAAGAGTTAAGCTCAGGATAAGGTTTTGGAGAAATGGCTTTGATTAGCAATAAACTAAGAAGTGCTAGTATAATATGTCTTAGCAATGTTCATCTTGCTTCAATTGAAAAATCTAAATTCAATGTTGTTTTGAAATCTTTAGAATAATAAAAGCTATAGAATAACTTAATTAAGCTAGAAAATATTCCATATTTTTCTAATTGGACTGAATAGTAGTTAAAATAAATATACTACAACTCTTTTAAGCAGGAATTTCATAAAAATGAAAAAGTTTTTGAAGAAAATCAGGAAATAGACTCTGTTTACATTATCTTAGAAGGTGAATTTATGGTAAAAATTTTATTAAACATATCTTACAGTTATAATAAAGGTTTTTATACAATAAAGCAATCAAAACACTTTAGAGTATTCGAAAAAGATTTTGAGGGCAGCAAATTAAACGATCTCAAGAAAAATTTTATAGTTTCTGACAGCCAAAATAATATGAAGAATATCTAAGTAATAACTTATTGTCTAAAATTATTATGGTTTATTAATAATATACAATTATAATTTATAATCTTAGCTGACTATAATGTAAAAAAATGAGCTGTTTGGTGAAGAAGATATTATAGGATAAAACGATAAGCGAACTTTTACAGTAACTTGTCTATCTCTTAGAGGAGAAGTAAAAAGCTACTTAATTTTTTGATAAAAGGATAATTAATTTACCCATACTTAATTAAAAGGTTTTGATGATAAAATAGAAAGACTTTTAGCGCTTAATTATGACTGAAAATAAAAGTAGATAGCTAATAGAAAAAAGATTATTGATGAAAAATGTCGTTCGAAATGCTAGAGTAACTAGCATAGCAGCTTAGTTTGATAAATAACAATATAACAAACTTATGAATTAAAGTCCAAATATGTTTCGCTCAAATAAAAATAATCTTTTGAATGAAAATAAGTAAACGTTTGAGGATGAATATTCATATTATAGATCATAGACAGATCAAATTTAGCTTAACTAAGAAGAAGAGTAAAATTCTTTAGAAAATTAAGAAAATTAACAGCAAAAAAATTGCTAAATTGACTAGAATGTTTCTCCTAAGTGTAATCTAAAAAGGAAAATTTAAAAAGATATTTTAGTAAAAGGATTCCAAGATCACCTAAAATTGAATTTAATCAAAAAATTTAATTCACTCTAATTTGAAAGACTTCATAATACAGTCCCCAAAAATTTGATAGAAAATATAGAATAAGTTGATGATGAAATATACAAATAGATGAATTTAAAGTAAAGGCATAATAATGATATTAGACTTACTGATTAACAAAAATAATAATATCAAAGAATACTCATAAAAAGACAGGCTTAAGAGTAATTGTAGAATTAGTAAGAATAAAAAACATTTACTCGTCTAGTATAATGCACTTCTCATGAAAACTTATCCAGTTCATAAACTTTGTCCACTTAAACTTTAGGTAAGGGATCATCATCTTCAAAAAACAATAAAACTTCTACTTCAAAATACAGATTTTCTACTCCTGAAAATATATTGAGATAGCCTATTTAGTAAGAAACAAAAAGTGAACCTTACTTTCATTTTGCTAACTATTCATATGTAAATTCAAACTCTGCTCGCACTGTTTAACATCCTAAAATAAAAATAAAACCAACAACTGCTATTTTAAATTAAGATAGAATGTTTATATCTAGCACATAGACACAAACTTCATCGCCACTATTAAAAAGTTCTTTACATAATACTTCTCCAACTGTGCTAACTCCAAATAAATCTGAAATTTAATTCTGTAGAAAAGAAAATATAAGATTGAAAAAATGTGAAAATCTACTTACCACTTCATAATTTACTTAAGAAAGCGAAATTAACTCTTCAAATTATGAAATATAAAGTACAAAATAATTAAGAAAAATAAACAGCTAGGCCTCATTTTCCAAAAATATATTATAAATCTAATAATCGTATTATAACAATTTTACTAATCCATACCACAAAGTAATTTAGCAAATTAAAAAAAAAAAGATGCTAGAAGATTAAATAAAGATGATGAATTTGCAATAATAATAATAATATTAAATTAATAAAAATTGAAAATCTAAAAACAATAAACTATTTAAAAAATTACTCTCTTTAAATATTTCACTCAACCAATTTTTAAATAATAATGTTATTGTATATAAAAAATAAAATTAATTTCTCATTATCTATACTTAAAAGTTTAATTATGTATTTTAATTATTTATTTTTGAAAATAAAAAATATTTATTATTTATACTTGTTACTCAATCACTTTATTTTAAAGTACATATTTCGCTTTTATTTTTCTTTATTAGCAAGTATTTGTTTTAATTTTTTTTATCATAAAATCTATCAATTTTTATATATTCTTTAGATTTTATTTTAGTTTATTTGATAAAATCTAATTTTTAAAAAATTGTAAAGCAAATGTTTTTAATTAAATATTTTATTAAGAGAAAATTAATAGATTTATTATGTATATACTCACTGTAGATTCTCCTAAATTAGCACATAAATATATTAATACCCATTTTTTTGAAAAAATTTTATTTTTCTTTGATTCATAGATCTAAAACGATGGCAAAGGGAATGAGGCTTTAAGGTATTTAATATTTAATTTAATAAAATAAAAATAAATCAATTAAATTTTTCTATTAAATTATGCTAAATTATTAGAATATAATAAATTATGATTGGTTTTGAAAATTGATTATGAGGCAAATTTAAGAAATTCTCAAATTTTAAAAATATGAACCTTAAAATAATTATCAATAATTGAAAAGGGCTTTAGAGTATATCTTTAAATTTTTAGCATTTATATAGATTAAATATTTTTATATTTTTAATTTGTTATTATATATATCTTTTCAATTTTTATCTTCAGCTAAATATAAATTAAATCTTAACTAGAAAATAAAAAGGTATCTTTAAAAAAAGGTCATTATATATTTAAAAGTAAGTTTTTTTATTTAAAATAATTTAATTAAAATTATATTTTTATTTTTTTAAACTTAAAATAGAATGGGACAAAATTAGATAGCACACTCTGAAGATATTTAAAAGAAAATCCTCTAATGGAAATTTTATATCCTCTATAATTAAATTTATAAGTAATTTTATCCTAAAGTATTTTTTATTTTAAATTGATAAACAACATAATTTATAGGATGAAATATGACTTAAACTAATCTTATGGCAGTTTAGAAGAAGTACAGGGATATCAAGATGTAAAAGAAATAAATATTAACATTAAAAAGTAATAAATTTTTATTATACTTTTTAAATGTTAATCAATAAATTTAAATAGAGATTATAATTTTGGTTTAGAAGGAGCTATTGGTATATAACAAGGTCTAAGTCATTTCAAAGAAATTTAATAGCTTAGTTTGGTGATTGGAAAGTAAAATTATTTCAAAATATTTTAAAAATAAATCAGTTTTAAAAGGAATAATAAGATAAATAACTCTGTTACTTAGATATTAGGTTAAACTATAGGGGATTGTTAATTTCTAATTAGACTTAATTTAGTTATTGAATAGTAAATTTTCCCAAAATATTAAAAAATAATTTATTTTATTTGTTAGAAATAATATTTAAAATGGAATTATTCACTTATTAAACCCGATTTAAAATTGTTTAAACCTTCAATCATTTAAACTGCTCATAGGAAAGTAAAATTTTATAATTTATTAACTAACTAATATTTAAATTTTTAAAAATTAGTTAAAATTAAGTTAAAGATGAATTATTTATTACTTTGAGTTTGATTTTAAGAAATCTTACTTCATTAAATGACTTCGGTTTGATATTAGAAGAGTATGCAAATTAATTTGACTTTAAAACATATATTTATTTGGGTTTTATTAAAAAAAGAGGTAATTTAACAACTTAAAATGGATTAATTCATTTCTCAGAAGGCTTGAAATCATGTTTAAATTTACTTAAATTTGAAATTATATTTGGCAAGTAAATATTAAATTAAATTATTTTATTTTTTAAATTTCTTTTTATAAAATAGAGATGAATTAACTACGGAAGGCTTATTAGCTTTAAAAGAAGGAATAGGTGCATTATAAAAGCTTACTCATTTTGCTATTGAAACAGGACCGTATAATAATTTTTAAAAATATTTTGGGCTAGAAAGTTTTTATTATTAAAATAATTTAAATTTGAAAAGTTGGAATAGCATAAAAAGCAATGGTTGCTTGTAAATATCAAATACTTTATTATAGTTCAAATAGATTTAAGAACTCAGAATTTGTATAGATTTGTAAAATTCTTAAGTAATATTTTCATTAAATAATTCATTTCTTTCAAAGGGGCAATTAAATTTCAGATGAAGGAGTTAAGTATTTGTCAATAGGAATTCTTTCTTAATAATAGCTTATTAAGTTATCTATTATTTTTGGAAGGTAATTAAAATTTTTTTATGAGTAAATCTGAATTATTTATTTTATTTTATTAGATTTAATAATATAGGATATAATAGTATTTAACTATTCTTTAAAAATTTAATTGATTGTAAAAATCTTTTATATTTAGAATGCTTGCTATATTGGTAAAATTATATAATAAGTGAATATAATTATTATTAAAATTTTATTTATTTCAATAGTACTGGGAATAGCATTTTAAGTAAGTAAAAAATTAATTTCTAAGTACAATTAAATCATATAAAATAAATAGTTAGCAAAAAAATTAGTTTAGTTTGGTGAATTTAGAATTAAATTTGTTAGTTATCATCAACTTTTGTATTAAATACTTTTGATAAAAGTTAAAGTAATATATTTAATTTTGAAAAATGTAAAATAAATTGTTGTTATTGTTTTATATTTGATAAATAACCATTTCAATTTAATATATTTATAATAAAAACTTAAAATAGAAAAAAATAATGAAATATATAATAAATAACTTATGTCTTAAGTAATTACAACGGTAATTGAAATAATATTTAAACTTTTTTATAAAGCCAAAAAAAATTAAAAAACAAATGTTTTGATTAAATAAATAAAAAATTAAAAAAATAGCTTTTTAATTGTTAAAAAAAAATTTGTAAAGCATATTTTAGCTATTAAAATAGCTTATTGATATTATTTATTAATAGTCTAATATAAATTAATGGATAATATATATTAAATATCAATTTTATATTACTCAAAAAGTCTTTTCTTTTAATAAAAAAATTAACTCATAAGTTACTACAAAATCTATTAAGAAAATCAAATTTTCTGGCATATTTTTACTCAAAAAAATTCAATTTTTATCCTTAATTACTTATTCTTTGTTTTTTCATAATTTTTAAGATTAAGTACAAAAAAAGAATACTTTAGAACTAGTTTATTAAAAATATGAAAAAAGTTAGAAGTAAATTTTAGGATTTTTATATTCAAAATTATTTAAATATTTAGGAATAGTATAAAAGAGGACTAGCAATATCTTACTATCTTTAGTTAATAAGATTTATCTAGCTAGTTTCTTTAATTTTCTCTTCAGATTTTTTTAATGATACTAAAGATTCAATTAACAGTTCAGTAGAAATATAAATGATTGATTACTTGATACAATTTTTTGAAGGATTTCGATTTTAATTTGCTTTAGATAATAGCGATGTTCTAAAAGTTACAGTTTCTATCATGTTTTTGTCTATAAATTCATTAGTATTGCTATGGTTCTGCATTTTTATACTAGCAGGCAATTAAAGCTAATAGCTTTTCAAAATTATATCATTTTATATGAAGATATTTTATTATACTATTTTAATACCATCATTGTCATTAAGTTCATACTTCTTAACCTAATATAGTGGTGTAATGGTAGTTTTATCAATATGCTCTTTAATTTAAGTTATTGTGATAGTCTTGATTATTTGTTATCATGATAATAGCTTACAGTTTAATAATTAAGACTATCTCTACAAATATGATCCTTTTTCATTCTATATTCAAATACCTATTATTTCTGTTTGCAGCTTGATTGTATATGTAAAAAATAGTTTTGTTATAAATTCTATTTTAATATTTTTTGCTCAGTTAGCAGAATTAGGAGATATTTACAGAAATGGTGGGTTTATATCCTTTAAAAACGGACTATTAAATGCATAATTAGTGTTTCTTACAACAACAGCTTGTGTATTCTGTCTAATATAAAAATTGAGTGATAACATAATAGAAAACTCATTTTCTAGTTTATTTGTAATTATCCCTATAGTTTGGACATTCTCATAGTTTCTTTACAATTAAATTATTTTTAGAAATGCCAAATAATTAATTAATTTGAATGATAGTATTTAAAAAATTAATATTTGGATAAGAGTAATCTGTAATATTTGTAAAGAAAACGAGTTATCCTACTTTAATAGTGAAAATGGTGTGATCATGGAAGCCATAATCTAATCACATGTACAAAAGTGTGATTTTAATCGCTGCTATTGTATCAAATTTACTCAGTAGCTATAATAAAAAGATAAATATGATGTAGAGATAGTGAGAAGAAATTTCATTTTTAATATAATTGAAGAAATATTTCGCTTGAAACTTTCAAAAAGAAAGTTATAAGATTTGTTTTATTTCAGGCTTTCGTACATATACTTTTTAATGTAAGCTATGTAATCACCAATTAAAACTCAGATAGAAATTAAAAAAATTCTCTAAACTTAAAGCAAGCTTTCAATAAGAAATATTAGTCTAATCAATTAAATTGATGAAATATCAGCTAACATAATATATGGTAAAAAAAAATCTAAGAAGGATGAGTATTAAAGTGCAATTCAGTTCGACTCCAGAATATAATTGCTAAATCAGACTTCTCGTAAATGCTATGCACTAAAAAGAGATTTCTTCGAATTTCTATGCCAAAGCTCAATAGATATTTAATAGCTGTTTGATAAGGGATATAATCTTTATCAATAAATGAAAAATGTAAAATATTTAACTTAATTTTTAACAATTATTATAATTTTTCTAATTTAAAGGTTGAATATGAGATATTTAGGCTAATGGCCATCAATTCACTTAGCAAAAGACTAAATGAAGTTGCTTCGTTATTTATGTCTGTTTTTGATTTGAGAAGAAAGGAAATGAGAAAAAAAAATATCATTTCCAAAAGACATCTTTTAAATTCATATGCACACTCATCCTCTGTTAAATAGGAGCTTTCAATTGATTTATTTTCAACAAGAAACAGTTGTGTAATTAATATGAGTCTCTTAAATAAATTAGGCTAAATTAAGGAATGCACTAAAAGCGTTTAATATATGTTTATGATTCCTTAAAAGGAATTAGTAGGATGTAATGTTAATATTCTAATGCCTTCTTGTATAGCAGAACATCATGACTCTATCCTGTTAAATTATATTCAAAATGAAAATCTACGTGATGTGCAAAATGAAAAGAAATATCTATTTTTAGGATAAGATAAGCTAGGATAGATTATTCCTTTAAAAACTCAAATGCAGTTATATGTTAAGCCTGACGATTTTTGTGTAGTAGCTTTTCTCTGTAAGGTTAGCTCAACCAATCAATACATCTTATTTTAGAGAGTTTAAAAATAAAAAAGCTGGTAAATTTCAAATATCTCTAAAGGTCTTAACTCCATTTTTATGCCATTATTTGAACAATCACAAACATGTAAATATTTTTGTTTTAAATCTAAGAAATTTCATTCAAATTTTCAATTTAATATAAATTAAAAAATTTTAATATATTAATTTAAATTAAAGCTAAAAGTAATTTAAAGAATCTCTGTTTAGAAAAAATGATCCCTTTAATCACAGCATTCAAAGAATTTAATTAAAAAGAAGAGACACTTGAAAATATTTGGAATAAAGAACAGACAACTTTACTTTTTCATCCAAAAAATTAACACTAATTTAATTATTTGACTAAGAATAAGCTAAAAGACTAATATTATGATTCTGAATCATTCAATAAATTAGTATTAGCTTTGATTGGCGATAATTTTGGTTTTGTTGAGATAAAATTTAAAATTTAGCAATTTTACAAAGAAATTCACTACATAGAAATATCTTCAATTAGATATATAAAAAGATAAGCAGATAAAAATGAGTCTATCATTATTTTAGCAAATTAGCTTAGTTTATATAACAATAGCCATAAATTAGAGGTGAATTTAAATGAACTGAGAAGAATTATAGATAATATAAAATAATAACAAAGCCTTTTAGATATTCCAGAAGGTCTAAATATGTAAAAAATTTCTTCTCAGTTTATGAATCCTTAAGGAAGTCTAATTAAAAGTGAAATTAATTTAGGCAATCTAATTGTTGATACCTATAATGATAGTCTCAAAACAGAAGATTAAAATAATCAAATTTATTTAGATAATGAATTTAAAAATAGTAAAAATTTTAATAATACAGCAAGTAAGGAAATGTACATAATAGAAGAAGATCAACAAGAAAGCCACGTTAATCATAAATCAAGCTATATACATAATAATTTTGATCCTAACTACTCTTTCAAAAGAGAAAATAATAGAGTTAACCATGAATTAGACGACATTAAGTAGCATGAAGACCAGGAAGAAAATTAAGAAAATGAATATTATAACGATCAATACGATTAATAGTACTTATAATTAGAAACAACAAATAGGAAGAATAATATCACTAATAGAGAACTGCTTTAGCAAAGCGAAACAAATAGAGAATTTAAAATTTAAATATAACAATAAGCTAAAGTTTAAAAATAAAACTAACTTGATATATCACTTGGAGGAGCTTCATAAAATGGAAATAACTCTTTTATAAATTAATTTGATGATAACAAAGACGCTCAAAGATAAGTAAAATATGAAGAAGTTACAATAGAGCATAATAAAAGTATGATGGATATTTCATCAATAAATTTAATGAAATAGCATGAAGATTCACATAACCAAAGCTAGATAAAAGATTTTAGTCATTAAGACAGAAACATCAACTTGAATTAATAAAAAGATGTGCCTTCAAATTTTTCAAAAAATGATCAAGTTTTGAAGAAAAATGATTTGACTAGCAGATCAACAACATTCAATTCTTAAATTAATTTACAAGGAAATAATTCAAGCTAAAATATTGAAATTAACTAGTAAGTGCTGAAATCTTCTTTAAACTCTAAAATAAACTCAAAAAGTAGCTATGTTGATCACTCTTCTTAAGGAAAAAATAAGCAATTTGTTAAATAAAATGTAGATAATAACCATTTAAATGAAGAAGATGAAGACTAACAAGATGAAAGAGAGTTAACTGAGAAACTTTAGAGCGAGAGAGAAGCTTCTTAAAAGGCAAGTTCCATCACAAACAACTTCAATATAAATCAAGGATATGAAAACATTAATGCTGAAGCTCTAGTTGATTAATCTAATAGCTCTAAAACAAGAACTGAGTTATCCTCAACAAAGAGAAGGATTGCATATATAATTACAAATAAAAAGTAAAACATCCTAATCAAAAGTATTAATTACTTTGGTTATGTAGCATTAATTCTTCTTTCATTTATAACACTATTTGTGTATTTTACTCTACAATAAAATCTAGATACTATGATACAAAACCTACAGTAAATTACAACAGGTACTGATTTAATGTATACCTCGTCTTTTGTTTTAGTAAACTATGAAGCTATAAGATCAAATAATGTAATTTTTTTCTTTTAAGATTTTCATTTAAAATTAATGTTAACTTAAAATTAAAATGACTTAAAAATTATTATATTAAAAAAAATTAGTACGGTGCGTATAACCATGATTTTGATGGAGAATTTAAATAGCATTTTATAGATTCATATATTTAATCTACTCATGATTTCAGAGACAAAGTTTAAAACTTGACTGTATTACCTAATAAATTTTAATTTGTTTAATATGTAAATAATAATAAAATTAACATAAAATTAACTGATGCTGATGGAAGTGTAAGCAATACTTAAGAACAAAATATTATCTACGCTATATGCAATTTTTATTCTTATTTAGTTTAGTATATTACTATTGATAGCTTGCAGATAAGAGGATATATTTTTAATAATTACTTGCAGTATCAGGATGTTTATTAGACGATAAGAGATATAACATTGTCTGAAGCTTAATCAAGCAATGATAGCATTTAAAATATTTTAGTATGGACATTTATATTGATTGAAGTTGTATCTGCTATTAATATTTTTATGATATTGCCAATTTATTACAAAGTTTAATGCAACAGGGAAGAAATTTTGAGATTATTTGTCACTTTTCCAAAAGAAAAATTATAAAGTATGGTAAACTATATGAATAAAATTGTAAATTCTAGGTTTTATAAATCTCATAGTAGTGGAGGGAACTTATCATCTGGAAGATTAAGTTCAAACAACGGCGTTTTTAAAGAAAATATATTCAAGAGTAGCCATATTAAATGGAAAAACAAAGTAATCTCCAATACAACAACTCTCAAAAAATTTAATTCTGGAATATTTGGTTTATGTTTTGTTACTCTTATTCTAATATCAATTTATCCTACTATTAATTACAGCGTTTTACATCCTTATTTAGATTAGTTTAAAATATTCTTTGAAGAATTCCTTACTCTTTAGAAAGTAAAAAGCTAAATATGCTTTACGTATGCAATTGCTGTCACCAGAGTAACTACTGGAATTGAGGATTAAGATTAATTCAATAGTTTACTTGATAACTATTATAAAAATAATTTGTTAGCTTAAAATGAATAGATACTTTAAGATCTTAATTAAATACCTAAAAATTTTGAAAAAATAAATAGGTATCATAATGATTAGTAAAAATAAATATTATTAACTCCTCTTGAAAGTAATTTATGTGAATTTATGAGAGATTTTTAAAAAACCTCTCTATTTAGTAAAGATATAGCTGATGTACCTGACGAATTTTAATTTTGTGATGATGTTTTTGGTGGATTACTTACCAAAGGTATGATTCTAGCTGCTAAGTAAACATTAAATGTGTTATACGATCTAATAACAGCAGCATCTACAGATAAAGCATAATAAGCCATTCCTCACATCTAGCAATGGGATTAAATAAATCCATTACCATATTTTGATAGGATGGATGATATTGATCTATAATTTATAGATATTATAAGTAGCTATTTGATGGTTTAATATAATTAGCTATTCGATCTTTTTCATTTAGTATAGAATCTCCTTTTAGGATACTCATTGACTATTTTATTAAGTGCCTTTTTATTTGGTTGGAGATATTTTATTTAGTATTCAAATTAACAAATTGTTTAGACAAAGATAATACTGTCTGTACTAAATATTGATCATATAGTTGATAATTCTTATATTTTTTCTTATTTTAAAAAGCAATTTGGTTAATCTTAATGAAAATCACAGCAATATCTTTTAAAAATTATATTTTAATAATTAATTAAATTTTATTTGTTAATTTTTGTTAAAAATGCATGTTTTAACGTTTTAGTAAAATAAAATATTTTAATTACTTAAGAATTTTTTTATTAGATAATTGCAAAAATTGTTGGTCAAAAGTTAATTAATTTTATTTCATCATAATTTGTGGAGATAAATTACTTTTTTTTTTTGTTTAAGTTTCTCCGCGAAAATTTAATAAATTCAAAATAATCTAAAAATCACATATTTTAATTAATTAATTTACTAAATATAGAAAGTTAAATATTCTAAACATCATTTAGCTTGAAGAAAAGCAACAACAAATAATTAAATAGAATTTTTTGAAGCTAATTTAGGCTCGTCTGATTGATAATATGAACAAAATTACAATTAAACGCACTTAAACAATATAAATACTAAATTCATTACACTTATTTATGCTTATAGACAGAATACGCTTAAGTATAAAATAATTTACTATCCTTTCTAAAGCACGCAGTAAGAAGCAGGTTAAATTAGTTTTTTCATAATAAAGATGTTAACTTATTCATTATTACGTAAAGACTGACCTATGATTATTATATTTTATTTAAATTTTAATTTATTTTTATATACTAAATTCTTATTTAAGTTAATATTCCTTTAATATTTATAGTAATTATGTGAATATTTATGTTTTCAAACTCAACTACTTTCTTCATCAGAAATCTTAGGAGCAAGATAGAATCTAAGAGAACCAAGATCATCGATTTTATATTCAACCATAAGAGGATTTTCTTCAGACATATTTAAACTAACAGTACTGCTAAGAGAGACAGCCTTATTGAACATATTCAAATATCTAAGAGCGAAGGTTAACTTAACGGGTTAATCAATTTGTAAATCAACACGGTCAACATCTTTATCACTTTAGTTATTCTTGACAGTGATTGAACCAGCACCAATATCTCCTTAAACGCTAAACTTAACAGATTCTTTGCTAGTTTCAATTTCAACTATTTTATTTTTTAAAAACAATATTAATTTATATATCTAATAATAATCTAATGCATTTAGTGAAGGTCAACCATACTTAACTTAACTAATTTTCAAAATTTTTAAGAGCTACTTCTTAATTTTTAAGTTTAAACATTATTATCTAGATTAAGTATGATCTACTTCTTTGAATTTAACATCTATTATTGTTTACCTGTTTCAGAAATAGAACTAAGTTCCTTGCAGATTCTAGAGAATTCAGCTGAGGACATTTGAATAACAGAAGAATAATCGGTGTCGGGGATACCCAAAGATTCACTATCTAATGACATTAAGTTCAAACTAAATTCGGAGATCTTAGAGGCCTCTACAAAATAATAAAAAAAATAATTTTAATTTTGATTAGCATTGAAAAAATTGTATCAAATGATTAATAGAATGAATAAGGATATATTATATAATATTATAAAAGTAGAGTATTGTAAAAGTAGAGTATTCTAAATATGTTCAGTTTAATTTATTCCAAAAGAAAACATGTACAAAGTTTAGAATAAAATAATTATTTTTGTCCTAATAAATTACATTAATTTTCAAAGAAGAATTTAAGGGAAGAAGGTTCTTCTTCATCAGTTTATAAGGTAATAGTGTCATCATTTCCAGCACACTTGAGGATCTTGGAAAGGTTTTCAATAGAAAGACCAAGAGTGATTGGTCTGTCACATCTATAATCCTTGAAACCATTTTCATTTAACTTGAGGGAAACCAAAGCAACGTGAGCTGAATCCATAGCTTGCATGGAAAGACCACTAGTGCTAGCATCGATATTAACTGATTTAACTAAATCCTTGATAGCATCGACGATTTTTTTGAAAATAACACCTTATTGTAATTTAGCTTCAAACATTTCTTGTAATTGTTTTATGACTGAGTATTAAATAGTCTGTTTGCTTGTTTTTTTTTAAGAGATAAATCTTAGTGAATTTTATTTAAATTTTATATTTATTTATTTGTCTTGATATTTAGTTTTCAATTTAAAGATTTAATTAATTCCACTTTATGTGTTTCAAATTAATAATTCATTATTTGCTTTCCGCGCTAATTTAAATTAGCTTCTCGCTATCCTCCACCCGCCCCCTTTTTAAAATTCAAAGTAGATCCGCTAAAAGACTGGATTTGCATTTAAAATTGTAAGGAAGGAAGCAAGGCACACAAATATTAAAATATTTAATATCGTTAAGTAAACTATTTATTAGAATTATTTTGTCGCTTATGACAAAATGTAAATCTAAAAAAAATTTTAAATTAGCTTTTTACATATTTTTCTTATAAAATTTGTCAAATTATTAAATGAGTTTTTGTTAATATTGAAAATAAGAAAACAAAAAACTTCTATCAAAAGTAAAATAACAAATTAAAACTAATAGATAGATAAATAGATACTGTATCAGATAAATAATAATTTAATATAATTATTATTTATTTTTAAAGTACTTAAAATATTGGATAACTTAAATAAATATAAATTTAATTTAATTTTATCTAATTAGGTTTATTTTTGAGATTTATTTTTTAAATTTATTTTTATCGATTTAGAAATAATTTTTATCTCATAACTAATAATTTACCTTAACAAAATACTGCTTTTAAATTTTATCATCTATATTTAATTTTTATTTAGGAGAATAAAATCCTTTTATAACGTGAGGCTTTAAGTTATCAGGTATTTAAAAACTTAAAATGCTATCTGTATCTTTGGTATTGTTGAGTATTTGGTATCCTTTAGCACTATTATTTGTAGATGTATCTGAATACTTTCTTTATGTCATGAAAGAGTTTGTTTTAGGTTGTGAGCTTTAGTTTTGCTTATGTAAAGAATTCTTGGATGACTATTTACTAAGACTAAAATAATTTCCTTTTTTATTTTATTTTTTATTCATAAAAAAATTAAATCAAAATTAAAAAATTTACTTGAACTTTTTGGAAAAGATGCAAACTCTTCGTTATGCTTCAATTAAAAAATATTAAGTTGTTTTTTATCGTTTTCAAAAATTTTATGGATATGTGAAACTTTATTAATTTTATCTAACTATTCTGTAAATGGTTGGTTAGAAAATAACTGTCCATCGCTTTTTAAATAAAGCCTTTTTTACTCACATTAAATTATATATCTATATAAATAACTTTCAGGTAGCTTTTTACCTAGATAATAATAAGAACCTCCAAAATTATTTAATTTTGGTAAGCCTTTAATGTAGTCTTTTTCATCTAGTTAAGGGGTATCCTTAAAAAGAATATTTTTATTATTTTATTAATTAGAGTTTTTTGAGTTTAAGTCATATTCTTAAGAGATTTGTGATTCTAAGTGGTTTCGAGACTAATTTTACATTAAAAATAATTATTTTTTGATAATATTAAAAAATTTACTTTTTTATTGTGCTCGATGTAATTAGAAAAATTATTTTCATAAGAAAAATTCTTTTCGTTCATCTCCAAGAATTAAGATTTGAAAATAGAATTTTTTTAATTTGAAGGACTTGATTTCTATCCTTAGAAGTAGATAAAATTATCGTTACCATTTTCTTTATGCCTCAAATAACCTGCTTTTTCATCGTTTTGACAGTTTATATAATAGTGGTCTGACTACTTTTGCTTATCTGAATAATCATCTATTAGTAAAATTTTAGGATTATTATTTTGGTGGTTTTAATCTGAGTAATTTATAAGTTTTTTTAGAGATGTGTGGTTTGTTAAAATTTCTTTTTTCAGTTTTGATTTTTATTTATAATGTTCTACTTTAGATTTAATCTTTTTTAGCTTATCTTTCTATGTAGTACTATCGCTCTCAATTAACTAATCATTCATAATTTTTATATCTTAAGAATTACTCTTTTGCATTTACTTTTTCTAATCTTTACTAAAATTTAGATCAGCCTTGAATATATATGGATCCTTTGTTAAGTATTTCAGGGCATTGCCTCCTTCAGAAATATATGTATTGTCATAAGATTATCGAATTGACAAACGCTTTTACTTGTTTTGATTGCTTTTAGATCTAATAGAAAGGAATGTGAGAGCACTTAGTAAATGAGTTTATCTTTTTATAAATGATTTTTAATCAGAATTTGTTGGACTGCCTAAAGGAGATGTCATTTAAAGATTCAGAGAAGAATTTGGTTATTTAGTTTCTTCATTAATTTTTTCTTATTTTTCTTTTTCTTATGGTTCGTTGGACAAACTAGTACTACTCTAAAAACTTTGTTAATTACTATATGGATCTTTGCCTTAGCTTAAGAGCAGATGGTTTTTATTTCCTGTTTTTTTGTAAAGGTTGTTAAAAAATTTTTACTTTATTTTCGAAAAAAGAGGAGCCAAGCTATTAATTGTATTTATCTCTTACATATCCTCTATTTCTTTTTTTCTTTTGATGATTTTAGAAATGAGTTGTTTCCTTTCGCTAATATTATTAACTTATTTTAATGCATAAGATATTTATTGCTAGTTATTAGTATCAGAAATGGAGTTAAAAGCTATATCTATTTTCTTTTTTTTCTCCTAATTTCTTGATAAAAACAGTTTTTCAGAATAGTTGAGTTTAGGTAGAACTTTCATTAACTAATTATTTTCATTTTATCTCATTTAATTATTTCTACTTTGCCTATAATTTTAAGTCAAGCTTATATTAATTTTTTAGGTTCTTCTATATTAAAATATTAATATAAATTAATTAAAGTCGTTTAATGATTAAATTTTTATTAAAGATAATGTAAAATCAGAATAAAAAAACAATAAATATAAAAAGAAATAAAACAAACATCAATATTTATCTAATTAATATTGAAATAGCTCTACCATTATCTATTTTTACAAATTAGAATTCATCATTTCATATATAATAAATTTTTATTCATATAAGTTTAAAATATATTTAAACTCTTCATTAAAATAAAATCAATATTTAATCTTCTTAGAATAAATCAAATCAGTAAATTAATTAATTAATTTTTATAATAAAAGATTCTTTATTAAATTTTTTTTACTGCAACGATATTTTTGTCAGTAAAAATTTTAATCATAAAATAATTATAAAAGTATTACTTTTCTTGTTAAAATAGCATATAAACTAACAATTTGTTTTTAATATTAAAGAATTGATATTTCAAAGTATCTAATTATAAAAAACTATTTTTTTGTAAACTCCTTTATTAAAAGTTTTATTAAGAAAATTAAAATACCTAATATTTTAAAGTAATTTAGATAACAATATAATCAAAATTTAGCTAAATATCTTCTGGTATTTATATTAAAACAAATTTAATATCATAATTTTTTAAACAAAAGTTCATTAATAAAAATTGTGGTCAATTTAATTAGCAAAAGAAGGAAATTTCTAGAGAAATTTCGTAATTTAAATCAGATAATAATAATAAATTATTAAACTAAATTATTTTTTTTTATATTATACAAATATTTCTTTTTTCCTATAAACTAACTCAAATATTTTACTTTTAACACATTATTTTTACTTAAACAAATATAAATAATACATTTATTAGAAATTCTATTTTACTTCTACCAAATTAAAACTTTTTCATCAAGAAATTTGATTTTTTAGTTTAATTATTTTACTAAGTCAAAGTATCAAAAGTTAAAAACAGAATCTTTTGGAGAAAACGAAGACTTGCAACTACATTCCTTTTCTGCATTTGGATTTATTTATACCTTTTTTGATAAATATTTTTAGATATAATAAAATATACATGTAAATTATTTGATATTTAATCAATTTTTTTTATAAATTTTTAATTATTTACATAAAAAGCGCTTTTCATCATGTCAGATTCATAGTCTACTGTTGCTCCTTTTATAAAATTCAATGTTAAGTTATCACAAACAAATAATATTTTTTCTTCATTTTCTTTATAAACAGAATCATCCTCAGTAAGGTTATTATCAAATTAAAATTTGTATGCAAATCCACCACAACCCTCTAAAATATTTTATTTAAAGATTGAAAACAATCAATTTTAATCAAAAAGTAAATAATTACCTCCTGAATCTACAGTTAACCTCAAAAATTTATCATTTCTACTTTTTTATTTTATCATCTAATTATTATTAAATCAATAGAAATATTGAAATAAAATGCTTAATTCAAATACTTTAATGCAATTATCTGTTAACTTAATCTCGTCTTATAAGACGGAATATAAATAATTTTGTTTTGTAAATAATGAACTTGTCAACTTTTAGGCTAGTTTAAACTTATTTAAAGCAAACATTTTATTAGTATAAAAAAGAATCAAATATTATCAACTTTTAATTGATTATTATAAATTTCTTATTTAATATACTGAATATAAGCAAAAAAATCATAAAGAAAAATAATCACAAATTATTAGTGTTATGAAATAGACGATCCTTAATTTTTTGTTTAATTTTGAAATAAAATACAAAAACATACTGCTAGATTTTTAATTAAAACAATGATATATAACCATAAAAATTAATCTTCAACAAAATAGTACTTTAAAAAAATAATTTATCCTCAAGATCGTCTTCATATTTTATATTAAAGAATTAAAAAAGAAAATAAATAAATAGATAAATTAATATTTTTTTTTATAAATATTAAAATCAGCTAAATTTAATTAATTTAATGTATTATCCCTTTATTAAATATATTTCTTTATTATTTTTGTTTGAAATATTTCATTTTTTATTAGAGAGTAAACTTTTTTGACTTTAATGAGATTTCATTGTGGATTAGTCTTCTCCTTAAATAGGTTATGAGTCACTATCTACCATTTACTTTAGAACTTAGCACCTTTCTTAACACTATTTTAACTTTTGATCTTATGATGACAAAGTTTGCTATAATATTTGTAAGCCTTCTTCACATGCTATTAATGCTCCTTAGTAATCTTCTTTCATTTCTTTAATTACGCTAATATCTACTAGATTGTATCCAACTATTGTAAATTGAGTGAGTTTAAATGCAAATATTTAAAAAATTTTTACTTTCTACATTATTTTTTTCTAAGTTTTTTTACTTAATTTTTAATTCTCTTTCTAAAACTGGTAGGGCTTTACCATATTCACCCATTGTTTAATAGATAACAGCTATGTTTTTTAAACTTCCTGTCACTAATATTTATTTAAAAACTGTAAATACATATTTAGATTATTTGTTTACAATAGATGTCTTCCATTCCATATATCTTTTCTTCTATTTTTTAAGATTTTCTAAAATACTCTAATGCTTTAAGATACTCATCCTTGCCAAAAAGTGCTGATCCCATATTACTATAGGTTGAAATTACTTTAAATAATTGAATTATTACCATCTATAACTATTTTTTAAATTAAAATTACAATCAGGGTGATTTGGGTTCAATTATTATTCCTAAATTTTTAAAGCTTTTTCAAGGTATTAAATCGCTTTAGCATAATTTTTTCTGTCTAGATATACTGTACCTAAACTGCAATATGTCGACGCAACTTTTTATAATTTTATTTGTTTATTTATTACTAATTTTGCTAATATATATTTTATTACTGTCTGGGTGATCTTTTTTGGCATACTTAATTTATAATTTCAATGCATTTTCATAAAATTCAATTGCTGAATCTAAATCACCTCTATTCCAATGTGCAAACCCAATTTAACTTAAAATATCGCTAGCTTTTAAAATAGTAGTTGTTTTAAAGGATAGCATTGAAAACTTATCTTACATAACTAAGCATCATTAATATAACTTTCATTAATTTTAAAAGCTATAAACAAATTCTCAAAACAGCTTTCCCATTGTTAATTATTTCTAAATTCTAATGCCTTATCAATCTTTTCTGAAATCATATTTCTTGCTTGAGCTTCTTCTTAATCTATTTCTTCTTATTCTTATTCCTTTTCTTTGCTTGGTTATGTTTATACTGGTCTTTAAAGAGAGTGAGAAGTAAGTGGTTTGGGCTTGATTTACCCAGATGGAGGCTTTTGAGAAGACTTCATTTTATGAATAATTTAAGTTTATTAATTTAAAAATTTAGTTTTTTTATCTTTTAAGTTTAAATATTGTTTTCAAATTTCATCAAAAATCATTAAATTAATTAATTAATTATTTATTTTACAATATTTTTGAAATGGCCTTTAAGATAAATAAGCAAAAATATTTTGAAAATAGAATATTTTAACAAGAAAAAAAAATTTATTATGATTTTTAATATAAATTATAAAATTACTTATGCTAAAATAAATAATATTCAATTCACATAATAGTCTCTAATTAATTAATAGGTGTTGATTTAATTTTTTCAAGACTATTTTTGCTAAACAATAATAATAGGTTTGCTATAAAACATGATTTAATTTTATTAGTGATTTATCTTTGCAGTCTTCTTTACAGAGGACCTATCAAAAATCTTTAAACTTATTTATTTTTCAATATTTTTAAAAATATTTTATAAAATAAACATTGTATTTGTAGTTTATTAAAAGTTACAAACTTATAAAATGAAATTATGCTAATAAAATTAAATTCATTCACTAATGAGTTTAGTAAGTAGATGTTTCTTCTTAGCTAGAACTAATTTTTTCAGGAGTTTTATTATTAAATAATAATTAGTTAGCTGTTAGAGGTGATTGAATTTCAAAAGGGGTTTTTCCGTGTATTCTTCTATAAAAAGGTCCTATAAATGAGTCTTTAACTTAAGATACCTTAGTCTAACTTTCATCAAATATAAATATACCACTTTTATCACTTTCCTCTAAAAACTTATCATCACTTTCAAAAATAAAATAAATAAAAATTTAAAAAAAAAGAAATAGTTTACATGACTGTATCTACCATATTTAAATTATATTATTACTATTATTATTTTTCAAGTAAAGTGTTTCCAATAGGTTTATTTTATGGCAAACTTCTTTGGCTTAAATAAAATTTAGATTATTAAATCAAATCAAACATTAAATATTTTACTTAAGGAAAGATATAGCAAATGGTCTTTAACCTATTAATCTGAAATCTGTATTCTAGTTTACATTTTATTCCGACATATTATAAATTAGGTTAGGATTTTATGTATCAGTAAAGCTAAAAGATTAATTTTATTATTTCCTTTTTAAGAATTATGACACTTTTACTCTTAGAATTTACCAATGCTTAAATTTAGAGAAAGATGAGATGATGTCAGAATTCCAGACAAAAATGTAAAATTGAGGGAAATATTTTTTAACAAGCATTTTCTACTTCAAAGTAAGATTTTACTTAATAAAATTTTTTATTTTACTAACACAACTGATCTTCATAAATGATTGATTATGATTAATCAAAAGGTTAATTAAAATTGCTGATACTAGAGTGTAGCTAAGAAAAATTATTAATAAGTATGATAAAATAATAAAAATTTTTTTAAATATTAAATCTGTAAGATTTTAAGAAATATTGCAGAGTAAAAATATGATGCATATCAATTTTTGAGATCTTATTTCTATTCTGTTTAGAATCTTGCTGTAGTATGGTTCTACATTAGACAACAAAAATAGATATATTAAGGAGATAAGCAGCAAATACTATCCTAAATTTACTTACTGCTAACTAAAGTAATTTGAAGTAAATACTAAACTAATTCTTAAAATTATTTTAACAAACTCCCAAAAAAAATACTTTCTCTTATATCCAAAGTAAAAAAAGCTATACTAAATATTTTTAAATAATTAAAATAAATAAAGTTGTTAGCATTTTTTAAAATTACTATTTTAATAGTCTAGATATGATTGTGCAGTCTATCTCTCTTTAAAAATAAAATAACCAAAATGATCATTGGTAAAGCAAGAACCCAAGAAAACAAGAGAGGTGTAGCAAAATAAAATAGAACCTTTTTGTGTTCTTCAGTATAGCATTCTTCAGAAACTTAAAACTGAATATAATATTTTCCTCCAATTTATCGACATGAGACAATTTATATTAAGCTATCAATTATACCCTACTACATAATAAATATAAAGAATATGGCAGCAGTTTTAGTGAAGTATTTATGCTAAATATTGAAACTATGTTCTCCTTAATCATTCTATCTCTTTATTCTAGCAATAATATAGTAGAATAAAATTGTAATGAAATATAAAATAAATGGTATTATTGTAGCCCAAATTAATCTTGTTACATACATAGGAACTTAGTTGCTTATTTCAGTTAAAAAGCAATCTAGACTATGAATGTTTGTTGATAATGGAATTACAAACTTATTTGAAACTTCAAAAAGAGAGCCAAACTATTTATTTATAAATAAAATATAATTAATATAAAAAGTAATAGATTATTTCTTATTTAAACCTCTAAATTAAGATTTTGCAAACAGAATAAAACTTATAGCTAGTGTATAAACTATTTAAAGTATAAAGTTGTCTCCCCTACCACAGCCGTTTTACCCATTTTAAGAATGTTAAGTTTCATCATGTAATAGCAAACTATTCTAGTGTTTGATTAGTTTACTAATTTCCATATCGTGTAAGTAGAATAAAAAATAATTATCAGTGAAAAAATAAAAATGTAAATTGAGTCGTTTAAATTATAGCATTTTAAGCATTGATAATTATTTAAAAAAGATTTTCCTATTTCATAAAGAAATAAATTAATTAATAGCTTATAAAAATGAATTTATGAGATATATTACCATATTTGCTTCCCCATGTTTCACCAAGATTATCACAAACTTCGCATAAAGGACCTATATAGCCTTAAGCGCAATAATTTGTAGTTTAATCGCCATTACAGTTTTAAACAGAATTTATACATTTTTCTATTAAATTAGAAGAATTATTTTGCCTCCAAAAACCTTAATTAATTAAAAAATAGAATAAATATGTTTTAGTTAAGTTAAAATTAAGTATACCTTATTTTATTTATATCTAATTTTGCTAGCATGAAACGCTGGTTGTGTAATCGCATTGTAGGCAACTCTAATTTGAATCTTTTATAGGCTATACTAATGAAAAGGTTCCTTATTCACATATAAGACATTAATAGATAGGACATGAGCTACATAATTTGGTATATATCTCACCTATTTTACACTCTCTAAATTAAACGTGAATAGAGTAATTTTGTGCAGTGATTAGGTCAAAGTGAGTCTCATTTAAAAGAGAAAAAATTCCACTAACTATTAGCGTTAGTCTTTATTAAGATCCAGGAATTCCACTTACTGTTAGTTAAGAAAATTAAAATTCACTACTTGAAAATTCTGCAATCGTTGATCCATCTATTTTAATTTCTCTTTCTGATTGACTTATTGTTTGTATTTTAGATTTAAAATTCTATATTTCATTAATAATATTTGATGATTTTTAAAAATCTCCTTGCTAAAGGAACAAAATCTATTGATTCTCATCTTTCATAAGGACTGTAATATTTATTTTATCTTACCCACTTCTCATATTATCTAATTTAATATCTGAAGAATTTAATGTGCTATTTTAATATATAAAATCAATTTTTTTCGGATAAGAAGCAAAGTTATTTCCATAAAAATAAGCAATATTATTCAAGCAGTTATTATTATTAAATGTACCACACGAATCTTAATTTAAACTATTTTTAGATTATAAAAATACTGGAATAACTCTAATATATCTGAATCCACCTTTTATTAAGATAAAATTTACTTTTTATTTTTAAAATATTTATTACCTCCAATAATGGCTGAATTTTATTCAAAAACAGAATTTTGTATTATGCAGTTAATACAATTAAATAAGATAGCTCCACCAGAACCCTAGGCTTAATTTTTAGTTAGATATAAACTGTCTCCTAAAAAGTAGGATGAAGTGCTATTCATCAAGTAGTCTTAGTTATCCACATAAATACATGCTCCATCATCTTAAATAATAAAATTATTTTAGAAATAAATAAAAAAAAATCGACTTACTATAAGATAAGTTAGATGTGAAATTTGATCTTAAAATTGTTGTATACGACTTTGATAAAAAGAGGACACTATCCTTTTAGCTGTTGTCAGAAAATACAGTATCTGTGATGAATATGCTACTACTTATAGAATAAAATTAGCTACTTTATAGAGCTTTATTTTCTTAAATTAAGCTACCCTTTAAAATAACCTAAGAATTATCAAATCTAACTAAATCATTATTATCCACAGTATTATTTTAGATAAATACTCCTTAAAAAGTGGAATTTTTGGATTTTAAGTATATCATTGAATATGTGTTGTAATTATTGTTTATAAAAAGATTTTATGCAATAAAAATATCATTTAAAAGAGTATAGGTTGCATTTATAGACCCATTAATAATAAATTCTTAAAAGTTAAAATAGCTAAAGAAGACTAACCCTTTATTATTTTAGAAGTAAATGGTATCAATAAAGCAATAGTCTACTAAATTTATTGATATAAACTAAGAAGGTATATTATATTAGTTTTATTTCGTAACAAATTATTTTATTGGATAATTATGACTCACATTTGAATTAGTTGCTAAGATATTTTAAATTTAATTCAAGAATAATAAAAATGTTATGTTTATTTTATTCTAAATTGCGTTAATTTAGTTTAAGCTTACATTCTTAGATTAGTTTATAAATATTAGAGAACTTTCATCTTCACTATTAAAATAACAATCAGAAATATTTAAATATTGAATACTGAGGTTAGTGATGTTTTAGAAGTAAATTATTGGATAGAGAATGAAATTCAGCTTTTAGTTAGTAAATTGAATGTTTTAGATATTGACTGTCTCTATATCAGTAATATTAACATATAAATTTGTCAAATTGCTAAGTAAAATATTGTTCATTCCTAAATATTATAGATTATTAAATAGGTAAAAAGTTTAAGTCTGATTGGTATTTAACTAAAATAATAACTCTACATTTTAGAAAGATAACCCCTGCATCTATAGCATATTTTCTAAAAAATTAGTTGTTAGCTAGATTTTAACATATTTTAAGTTACCTTAACCAATGAGATAAGTAGTACATTAACTTTAAAACTTAAAACTGAATGGAGTATTTAAAATTGTGAACTCTTTAAAATAGATATTCACATAAAATTAAGATATTGATTGGTAATTTAAAAATTATTAATACCCATTTTAGATTGCTTTCATTTAAGATTGTACTAAGACTTCTGAATTATATTAGATTTATGTTTAACACTAAATATTATTATTGTGGTTAGCAATATCATCTGTCAAAATTATAGATGTATTTATTAATGATAAAACGTTATCACTAGCATAAATCATTTTAAGATGTAAAATGATATCGTCCGAATATGAAAAATTATTTATAAATTTGTAGCTTTTAAGAGCTACATAGGAGATTAAGCCTATTAAGTCGAGGTGATCGTCTCTTACTACATAAAGCTATTATCCATTATAGGAATAACTAAAAACAACATTGCTTGTTAAAAACTATGATTTATGGTTTAACAATACTTAGTTCATCAAACTCCTCTATTGCTGAATAGTAGTAAAATTTCCTTAAATGTTATTAACTTTGATATAATAGATTTGATTGTTTTCGCAAAATAAAAAAACTGTATTATTATAACTAATAGTATCAGATTTTCCACTGCAGCTAATTATTTAACTTTGTGTTAATTTTAAGCTATAAGAACTAGGGTTTATACTATTAATTTAAATTAATTAAAGTAAATTACTTTATTTGATAAATAAGAAGTCTTAGTTTGAATAATAAATATCGTTGATTATTAAGTTATTTTAAGGTAATGTAAGGCTTTTGCTCTCAGAAAAGTTTTATCCATATAATATTTAGATAATTTAATCTACACTTATTATTAAAATATATTATATATTTTCTGAAATCATTATTGATCTAGTTCTATCTTTATGGATAAGATTATTTTTAATGCTAAATTATTAATTCTATTCATTGTAAATTAATATTTGATTGTTTTCTAAAACTGATAAGACGAAAATGTTTTCATAGAAAGCAAACTTATCTATTGTTCCAGGAATTTAGTTATTAACTAATTTTATTAATTAATTTTTAAATATTGTTAAAATAGAAGAAAATAAATATTTAATTATGAAACAAAAATTTCCAAAAATTAGTTAGATGAATTTTTTACTTGTTTTTGTGTTGTACTTTTAATTACTAGAAGAACCTGTGCTACTTGTTTTAATAATAGTTAAACAAAAAATTTCTGAATTATGTATGCAAAATATTTGATTTTGCAGTTCTATGGAGTTAATGCAAGGAAATTATATTTTCTATAAGATTTTTTCTAAACCTTCATCGTAAATATAAATTGAATAAGATGTAGTGACAATGACCAAATTTTATGGACTAATGTAATAGATTTATGAATTCAAAGCAGTATATTCTTGCACTAAAAATAAATAATTAATTTAATTTGTGCTTAAACTCCATTTATTTACAATTAAATCTTCTCTAACCAAATATAAATTTTAGCTAGTAGCATCTAATTTAGTTGATACTATACTACTATCATCTTAATTTTAAAACAAATTATGATCATTTATCATTTAATCATAATCTAAAATAAAAAGCCCATTTGAATTACTTGAGTATGTTACCAGCATATTTGTATTAAAGTCAACAAAAGGATTAGTTATGGAACCTGAAAACCTCAAAATTTTCTTTCTCAGCTACAAAGTATTGAAATTAAAAAGAAAAATATTGCCCTCTATGTCAAAAGCACATAAAATATTTGCTTCCTAATCATAAAGTAAACTCTTCCAACTTTAATAATGAGTATAGATGACTCTTTTACTCAAATCTGTCGTATTATAAAACTGTAATTGCAGTGTTCCATCAACACCGCATGAAACAAATTATTAATTTTGATAATTTATAGCCAAATCATAGATCCAAGATACATGAATAACTTAGAAGCGTATGATTATATTTTTAACACTATCAAAAATATAAATCTAACCATTTTGCTTGAAAAAATTTTAATTTAATATTAATTTTAAATTTGAAAAATTTTACATCAAATAAAAGTAGAATTAAATTTAAATAGTCATATCTGCCATCAACTCCTATTGTTATTAATCAAAAAATAATTAAATTAAATTTAATACATTTTTTTATATTACCTTAATGTAATTAATTAAATGTCAAAGTACTCAATTTATACTCTTGTGCCCAATAACAATACTTTTATACAAACACAATTAGGTAATATTTAAAATTAAATAAGTTACTCCAACAAAGTAGACTTTATCTAGCTATTCTACTATTAATATTTATGTTACTTTCCAAATATTTAATATGTGGTTAAAAGGATAAATTATTTTGAACGAAAAATTTTAAGCGTCTAATAAATAAATAGAGCCACCATTACATCTTATAAAGAATTATACTTTCGACTGGTAAAAACTTCCTCCTATCGGATAATCACAATAGTTTTTATCAAATGAAACTGTTTTAATGTAAGTCATTGTTGAGTATTAGTAAATTGATATAGATCCATCATTTGAATATGATATTAAAGTATCTATTTAAGGAATTATATCTAAGTTAACAATATCTGAAACTTTATCTATATTCTATGGATTATGTTAATAAGATTAAACTAAATTTAGGTTTGGATAATTATACAAATTTATTTATTTATTATAAGCTATAACTTAATTTTTTGTGATATCTGTAACTCCACCGTTAAAGCCCTAATTATCTTAATTCTATGCATAAAATTAGCTCATCTTATAGTCTTTAACAAAAAGAGTGCTCATTATTGTAGTGAAAATTAATTTATTAGCAATATAATCGATTATTATATAATGAATCAATTAACTTGATTGCCATTACATTTAAACTATTTTTTTATTATAATCATACTTAATTATATTACCATCTAATGAATAAGAAAGAGCACACATATTACTTGTATCCATAAAAAGACCTTAAGCTGTGGTTTAATAAAATATTTATTAGGTTAAGACTATTTTATTTCCTTGATAATGATATAAAGTACCTTTGGAACTAAGTACGATAACTGTTACGTTGTTACTGATAATATTATTTATAGTATCATAACCAAAAAACAAAATACTGTTATCAGATGAAAATTGTATGTTTATACCAATTTAATTCTTTAACTATTCTTGTAATTAAATAATAAATAAATTTGTGCTAATCCATATTTATTATTATGAATCGTTTCTTTTAAAAGTGATGATATTGCTTTAAGTGTTTTATTAATAAATAATGTCTTAAAATAGCAAATTGCTTAACTTGAATTTCTATTATTAAAAAAAAATGTTAAATAAATTTGTTAAAATTAAGAAAAAATTTCATACGTAAATGTTAGAGTTAGAAGAAATAAAAAAAAGTAAATCGTTCGAAGAATCTATTGAGACAAAGTTTACCAATTCATTTTAATTTTGTAAAAACGATGATTGTTGAGCATTTTTTAAGTCTAGTAATTATAGACTTAAATCATTGAGATTAATAATAGTTATTATTGTTGAGTTGTAGTATAAGATATAATTATTGTCTTATTGTGCCACAAATACAAATTTTGAACTAGAATATTGAAAATTGTATTATTTCAAAATTTTTAATGTCAAAATATCTTAAATATACAAATTATTTGAATAATCTGTAAAAATGAGATATTGAAATTGTGTGTTTGAAGTAAAATTAACAATCTTATTAAGCCAAACTGGTTATATTGTTCTCAATAACTAATTATTTATGTAATCAATTTCATAAATAGGTGAGATTTGATTTATTTTTACTACATATATTTTTTTAATACTCTTATTTATATCAATAAGTCCATTTGAATATAATTGTATTATTGTTTTTTATAAAGTTCCTGTTGAGTATTTAAATAAAAAAAAATTTCCCCACTAGTCAAATAGATAAAGCCTATCTAAATCATTGTCTGGATAAATTAAATTTGACATATTGCAAATAATTTATTCTGTTATAAAGCACTTAGTATCAAATTTTATTTTACTTTAAATGATATCTATCATTTATAATGCTTTTGAATTCAAAATATAAACTATGTTTTCACTCATATTAAAAAATATATTGGCAAAAACAACTCCATTATTTAGATTATCATAATAATCTTATTAAAATTTTAGCATAAGAAATTTCTCCTGTACCAAATCATAAGCTGATATTAAGTTTATAGACGATGTAACAATAATACCATGATTATATGCTACATTTAAAATATTTTAGCTAATTTATTCAATATTTCCATTTAAATATTAGCTATCTTTGAAATCTATTTATTAAATTAATTATTATGATAGATTTTGTTGTATAGTCTTTGCGTTCCAGCTAACAGTATTCACTACCATTAAAAAAAATTAATCACCATAAATAATTATTATTTTTTCATTAAATTCATTTAGCTGAACTACTATTCCATTTAACTAAAACGAATCATTAACTATTTAATTTGGAATTATTTGCTTATTCATAACTTATTTTGAATTAATTTCATAAAATATTAATTCATATACTTAAGTTAATTAATTTTATGCAAAAGCAACAATGAAATTATCTTAAGAGTAAAAATATAAAGGATTTTGTATTTCGTTTATTAAAGTCTATTTAAATTCATTTTTAACATCTATTAAGACCAAACTATTTTAATTTTGTTAAGTAATGATAATATTATTATTACTACTATCTATGATATAGTTGTTCGCATCATTAGTAATTAGAACATCTTATTTTACAGTCATTTTATTAAAAATCAGCTAAAATTAAAAAAATATGTTAAAATATTAAAAATATGTTTAAAAAAGATAAAATTACCTATCCGTTCTAGTTCTAATAAATGTAATAAGTAATATCAGTAGATATTATAGCAGAATTGACACTATTTAAACTAATTTAACCAACTTATATAAATGAATAAGTAGAGGTATTTAGCTAAAATATAAAGCCTTAAACGTCGAGATAGTAAATGTTACTATTTTTCTGATTTTGAAAGTATTAGACTGACTAAACTGCAAGCTAATAGTAAGATACTAATGATAGATTGGAAGGATTATAAAATGAAACTCCATTCAAACCAAATACTACAAAGTAGCTCTATTATTATTATTTAAAATCAAAGAATTATACAAAATACATTTATCTTAATTCTAAGTTATTTTAATCAGTTGAGCAACTTTATCCAACATTTCCTATTGATTATATTAAGGGACAATCTATCACTTCACTTTTAATATATTTAAAACTTATTGTAAATGTTAGTAATAATTTAATAATTTAAATTATTTTCATATCAGCTATTTGTTCTACTTTGTTTACTTTGCTTTTATATTTAAATTCACTTAACTGATCCTTAATTATTTGATTAAAAACAAATTACTAGTTGATACCTAAAAATACGATTGATAAGTCATAAAAAAAATTATTTAACAAATTCAAATGAAAAAAAAATAAAAATATGAAAAAAATGATTAGAATTTCTAAATAAATAAATAAACAAATAAAATAACTCAAATATTATAAATTAAATAAAATAAACTTATATTGATTTTATAAATTAGGATAATCCCAAGCATTTTTATATATATTAAAATAGCATTTCAGAAAGTTAAAAAGCTGTCATTCCCTTGAAATTAAAAACTATTTTAAAATGAAATCATGTTTGACTGATTTTAAATCTATCATAAATTGAAAAAAATACGTTTGCCTCTATATAGATATAATTATAAAATGAAATAAAATAGAATAAAATTGATTCATTAATTTATATAACTGATTTTTATAAATTAAATTTCAGTGGATTTTAAATATTTTATACTTTTTAAATTATAAAAAAAGCATTTTATTTTATAAAAATTTCAAAATTATTTTAATCTTTCTCAACTTAAATTAAAAAAAAAAAATTTCAATTAAAAGGATATATATATCCTTGTTAAAAATTCATAGTTATTTTCTTTGTGTTTACCTTGATTTATAGTTCTTATTGTAATTGTTTAATAATTATAGTGCTATTTTTATTAAAATTTCATATAATATTCAACTAAAAATATAATTTCCTAAAATTTAATAAATATTATTTTTACTGATAATTTTTTAAGCTTACATAGTTTTATAATAAAAAATACAATAATTAAATTCTTTTAAAAAATAATAATAAAATATTTTTTAAAAACTAAACAATAAAAATAAAATATTTTATATTAAAATTAACAAAAACAAAAATATATAAAATACAAAAATTAAAATTATTATAATTATTAAGACTTTATTTTCAAAAAGAATTAATTAGAGTAATTTGATAATGCTTTTTTAATTATTCAAATCATGTTTTAAGATTCTGTAAATCTATGTGAATTAAACTAAGTTATTTCTTTAGTCAGATGAAATATTTAACTTGAGTCTAAAAATAGTTAAGGAATACTTGGTTTCTTATTTAGCTTTGAGTTTGGACCCATCCTAGAATCAATAACTCTATTACATAATTAATTATTTTTATTTTTGATTTCAGCTGAATTAGATTCCTTTACTTGCAAATTAAAATCAAAACTTTTATTTTTAACGATAAAATAAATTTATTAATATTATAAAATTTGATTTATTAAAAAACATACTCATTTTCTATAGATGAAGTCAAATCTTTTATTGCATCTCCTTGCTTTTTTGTTATTTATAATTATTTATAAGTGTCTACTTAATCATTGCTTTTAAACCTTTAATTAATGTAAAATTTATTTTTTAATTTATTTTAATTATTAATATTACGGCTATTTGATTTTGAAGAAACTTTGTACAGTGTTCGTAACATTGAGGTTATTTTTTATGCTTTGATTTTATAGATGTTTCTAAATATAAATTTTTAAATTCTATCTAATTAATTTCCACCTTTGAAATTTGTCAAAAGAAGAAATAAAATGAGGATTATAAATCATTTTATGCAATGTTGGGAATGTATATTTTATTATTTTATAAAGGCAGCTAGTTTTTGGGATATTACTTTTCATACAATTAAATACACGTTTCATAAATCCATTTTGTATAATCTAATTAGAGTTAGAAGAAAAAAGGTTACTTAATATTGAACCCAGCAGATGAAGCACTAATAAAATAATGCAAGAGTACATTACTAAAACTGTTATATATAAATTAACAGAATTCACATTTTTTGCTATGTTAGCTAATAAAAAGATTAGAGATATTAAAGTAGAAGATATTTTTTCAATCTTATTCATAGTATTATCTCTATATGGTTCAATGTAATTAAATAATGTGCTATAAGAAAAAGTAATCAATAGAATGAGAAGTCCTAAAATACTTTCAGAAGTAGCATTGTAGTTCACTACAAAAATGATCAAAATTCTTTGATACATTTTTACAAATTCCCAAAAGTAGTATTTTTGTTTATATCCAAAATACAAAAAACCAAGCTTTTTTAATTAAAAAAATTATGAAAAATTTTTGAAATAAATATTTTACTTTTTTAATCATGGAGTAAGAACTTTCTAGTTTTTCTTTATTTGAATGAAGTTTCCATATTAATGTTACTGGCCAAACTAAAACTAAAAATGTTAAACCTGGAATAACTACATAGTAAATTATAGATAAGTGTTAATAAGAATAGCACGCTTCTGTTATCTAAGATTATATATACATTTTTCCACCTATTTCTCTACATGAAAGTATTTAAATGAGAAAATCTGACAACCCTTACTGAGTGATAAAAATATAAAATATCAAGCTTGATCTAATAGAAAAGTTTAGCCAATAATTTTTATAATTATTATAGTGACATTTTTTCCATTAGTAGAATACAAATAGCCTATAAAATGCTACAGATATTATAAAAATTAAAATTAAATAGATTAAGCACCAGCCAAATTTAATAACATAATGAGGGATATGCTTATTAAAAGCATATAAAAAGCAATCTATGCTATCGATATTGGCAATGACTGGAACACTAATAGTTTCGCTGTAGCTAAATAGAGGTTATATCTTTTTTTAAATAAGAGATTAATATTATAAATATAAATTTTATCGATATTTATTATTTTTTTATCATTTTGATTAAATTCACTTTTATCTTAATTTAAAAAAATAATTTATTAACTAAGTATAAAAGCTTTTATCTATAGGAATTATTTTATATGGTTTTATTTTTTAAAGTGACTACATTCTTCAAAAAATGAGAAAAATTAAAATTTATAAAAAAAATTAAGGTAGTTTGATTATTGGGCATTTAAATTGAATATTAAATTAAAAAAATACATTTAATTTAAATGGTTTTAGGTTTAATAATAGCTGCAGTTGATGGATAAGCAACTTGAAATAAAGGGTATTTTAACCTATTATAGCAGTTCTTCCCAATTTGAGTAAACCAGTTTTTCTAATAAAGTAGCAAATAATTCTTAAATTAGACTAATTTATCACTTGTATAATAGTGTAAGTGGTATAAATAATAAATAGAATCGCAAAAGCTATTTAGAATATTAAGTAAGATTAATTTTTGCATGGACTACATTTGTACTAATTAAAATATGACTTGCCTTCAAAATAAAAATTGTTATTAAATATTTTATTATTTATATAAATATTTTACCATAAGGCATTCCCCAAGTTTCTCCTCTGATATCACATGTCTCGCACAGCGGACCTATTAAGCCTTCAACGCAATATCCTTTTTCTGGTTTCCCAGCACAGTTCTAGGGATTATTTGAGCATTCTACAATAATGTCAGAGTCTTGGCTTTCTCTCCAAAAACCTAATAGATATTTAAATATGATTTTAAAATATTGTATTTTTTTTTGAAAGTAATGAACAATAAATACCTTTCTTTAGCTTAATTTAATTAAGTTGGCAATTCTCGGTATTTTAACTAGAGCATTTCTTACATTATTTCATTTACTCATCCTATTTTTATTTATAAATTATTATAAAATTTTAATAAATTAAAAATATTTTATAGTACGTTTATATTTGGCTTTGCTAATGAATATGTTCCTTCTAAGCATTATTTACATTCATAAATACGACAATCAACACAAATTTAATTTATTACTTCTCCAGGTAAACATTCCCTAAAATTTAATTACAGTTAAAATATTTAAAGCTCAGAAGTATTAACTAAGTTATTTTAAACAGCATATATTGAGTTTGTTTTTAAGAACATGAAAGATTAGTAATTAGGTATTCCATATAAGAAAAGCTGGTTGAAATTGAATCCTTCTTTCTGGTATTCTTTAATAGTGGATCCTTCTATTTTAATATCTTAGTCTTAAAGTCTTTCAGCTTTATTATCTAAAAAGAATTCTGCTTTGTAAAAAAGAAGTTCATCCTCTAAATTTTTTGAAAACGCTGTAAAACAGTCTGGAAAGTGTATTATCATTTCATTTTCATCTAATAGTTAAATTGTGAAGCTTTCATCGCTTTATCCACTTCTTACTCCTTCAAAAATTATATTTTTCTAACTTAACTTAAATTTTTTACCCATGTATACTATTAAGGCATCCCTAGGATAAGAGCCTATATTCATACCAAAAACCAAACCTTTGTTGTTTTCACAAATATTATTTGAATAGGTACCACAACTATCAACTTATTTTTACGGATTTTATTATTTTATTTCATCTCTTTATTATATATAAGTAGGTATGTATTTTTGATATCTAATAGCACCTAATATTTTACAATCAATTATAACTTCGAAATCTAAAATTTAATTACCTCCTATTCCAGCTTGATTCCCTTGAAATGTGTTACTTTCTAGTACAAATTAATAACAAATTGAGTAAATAGCACCTCCTGATCCTTTAGCCTTATTTAGCTTGAAAATATTATTTCTAAATTCAACAGTTTCATTTTCAGTATTTTATATGTTGAATGCTCCACCATCCTCTAATAAATAAATAAATAAAAATATAAAAATAATTTTGTATTTTTAAGACATTTATTTTACCTTTTGAAACATTTTATATAAATTCAGAATTGATTTAAGTAATATTTGATGATATTACTTATAATAAGCTATGATTTTGTTTATTACTTAAAAATTTAGAAAATTAAATTGTTATTTAACTATCTTAAATCAGTAACAAATTATTTTTACTGCTGTTTTCACTTACTGTAATGTTTTTAAAAACTGCTATAGAGTGTCTTAAATCTAAAAATAAGCATTATTACATCTTATTTTAAAGAATTTAAACTTCTTCGAATAGAATTGACTAAGATTATATCTAAACTATTGGATTTTATGATGTATTGTCAATAAAATCAAACTTATTGATTATTATTTAATCATCTTTTTGTTTACTTATTATCTCGTTTTAATTTCTATCAGTATAACTAATAGTGTTATGATAGTCAATAAATTAAACATCTTTATTGCTAATAAAAAAACCATTTTCTATTCTTGTTGTTCTAACATGTTGGATTTCAAAAACTGATTAGATGTATATCTAAATTTAATTTTTTTTCTTAAGTTACTATTTAACATTATTTTAGATCAATACTTTATTCATTAAAACATTATATGCATAAGTTACCTTAAAGAACTTACTTTTCAATATATTATTAGAATCTAATGTTAAGTTTTAAATTATTATATTATTTGAATTAATAATTTCAAATAAACTTTCTTCTATTTATCCTGATATTGTGCACTTTTAAATCAGCATATTTTCTATTTACAATTCATAATTATTTACAAACTCCAAATAACTAGTATTTTATAGATCTATCTCTTAGTTTAATATTTTCCAATCTTTTAAAATTAAGCGGTAAATTTAGACAAACGAAATTTTAAAAAGTTTTATTGCCTAATAATTATCAAAATAAATGTTTTGCATAATTAAATTTTAAAAATTTTCAAAGGTAAAATATTCATCAGAATTGTTTTAAATATTTTCTATTTTTAAATTATAAAACGCCAGTTGATTATATTTACTTCCTTATTTGATAAAATCTTTGGATAATGATGCTATTGATTGAAATTACCCTTGACTATCTACTTAACCTCTTATAGTTAAATTAGTAATGCCCTAATATGAGAATTCTATACCAGAATTAAAATAAGATTATTCTTATAAATTCAGAGTGATATTAAAATTTAGAATAACTAAGTAACATTTAAAGAAATCATAAGAGTCCTAAATTGACTTAAACATATTATTTATTTATGTTGGTGTTCTAAATTAGTTAACATACTAGCAAGAACTATACTACGAATAATTTTTTGCTTATGCTAAAAGAGGAAAAACTATATTTTTGATTCCTTTAACATCATAATATATTAATGAGTGTAAATTGTTATTTTTATACTTAATTTTAATGATATTAAAATCTTCCTATTCAATGACTTCATTTTTACCAATCTTTTTTATCGTATAGTCATCATTCAAGAAAATAATTATTTAACGATTTTAATATTCCAAAGCTAGCATGTGTTAATCAATAAAAAATAAAGACTATATAAATGAGTCTTGCAGCATTAGTTTTCTAAATTATTATACTTACTTAAAAGCAAACTTTGTTTCTTAATCTATAACTAAAAATGTATAAATTAAGTCATTTGAGCATAATACTACAAGTAAATCACTACCATTATTAGAAAATTTAATACTTGATGCCTTGCAATTAATATTAACAGGACTAGCATTTATTATTTTTATTTTATCATCTATAAATGATATTTTATAAGGAAAAATTTATTAATTTGTTTTTATATAAAATATGTCATTAGAAAAACTTTCTAAATTATCTATTTAAGTGTTTTTGAACTGATCTAATTAATAAATATACTAAAATGAGTTACCGAATGCTATTTTAAGTATTCCTGCTAGCTCAAATGTTAAAACATATTATTTTTTGATAATTAAAGCTTTTATATTACTTTAGTGATAATTTTAATAGTTTTGTATCTCTTTTTATGTGTTTGGATTGTAAATAATTAAGCTATTTTCTTTTGAGCGATAGTATGCAACTATTTATTGATTAGAGCCCTGAATTGCTATAAAATTATGTGATGTTTTACCTATATATTTATTAAAAAGAAAAGTTTTATTCAGACTAATTAATAAAAAAATTTTTTATTCAAAAAAATTAAATATTTTAATGATTGCTTTAAATACTAATTAAAAATTTATTTTGAAAACTTTAGAAAAAATAAAAAGTTTACCTTAATTTATATCAATAAAATCTAATTTATTTTCTGTATTTATTGATATCATTTAAATTTAAAAACCTTAAGCGCAGATAATAAATTAAGAAATTTAGCTAGACGATTGGCAGCCTTACATATAAGTATTGGTAAGTGTTTTCAATTTTATATTATATACTAAAGTTTTAATAGTTGTTATAATTAATAGCAACTGCTAATTTTAAAAATAGTATAGCTTAGAATTGACAGTATAAATATTCGGTAAATAAGTTAGGTATTCGAATTATAGCTATTACATATCCCATAAATATAAATATCCATCATTTCTTAAAAAGTAAATATTATTTTTTTCTTCTTCAAAATAAAAAGTGCTTATTGAAGTTTATTTATATACATAAGCATTATACTGGTCAATTAACAAAGAATTATAATCAAGAGATATTACTTTATCTGATGAAAATCCAATTATCAAATTTTTACTTATATCTAAATAAGGATTTAATATTTATGTTTTAGTTATTGAAGGAACTTTTTTAACTAATGTAAGACTTTTAAATTTCAATATAAGTATATTACCTTCTATATCAAAAGCTAATAAAATATCTATTTCTCTATCATATATCATTGTTTGTATTGATTGATTATGTTAATAAATTTTATTTGGCTGTTAGTTTTGAGTATCATATTTCCATTACTTTAGATAACCATCCTATCCTCCTGTAATTATTAATCTTTACTCACTATCAAATACAACATCATAAATCCATCCCTTATGAACTATTTTAAAGAATAATTCAACATCTTTAATTGGATCAATAACAAATAATTGACCATTATGCTTTTAATTATTATAAAAATATAAATATAAAGATATATTGGTGTTCTTTAAAATAAGGATTATAATTGTAGAATTAATTGAATTCCCTTAAAATAATGAAACCTTATTTTTTGTTTTATTAAATAAAATTTGCTTAAAATTCAAAAGATTGGTTCTAGTAAATCAAAGTGCGATTTGCTAAAATATTAGATAGATTAAATATTAAAGAATTAAAGCCTCCCTTAATTTAGGCTGATTACTAAGAAAAAAATTTTTAATGATAAATTTTCAATTGCAAATCTAAAATCAATTAGCCATGAATACACGTAGTGCATTAATTTTATTTTTAAAAAGAATTTATTGATTAAAATTACTTCAAATTAAAAAATTTTTCACTTTGAATTTAAAAATAAATTAAAGGATAGCTGATTAATTAAATAAAATTAAAATTTATTAATTTAAAATATTTCATACATCAAACATTATAAGGATGTTGTTCTTGAAATCATATCTGCAGTTGATTCCTTTTTTAATTGTATTATTTTAAAATAGGTATATTTTTAATTTATTTTTTACCTTTATAAGTTTTTAACATTTAAAATGTATTAAGCGTGTACTACTTAGACCAATAGGAGTACTAATTATAATAAATATAAATTAAATTAAATATAAAATTTAATAAATTTTACTCCTGATATAAATATTCTATCTATTTACTCTACTATAATAACTTGTGTTATTTTCCAAAATTAGAGTATATTTTCATATTTTTAAATAAGATCAAAGTTAAATTTATTAATCTGCATTAGATATATAGAACCTCCTTCGCAACGAATATAATACCTGTTTAAAGTTTCATAGTAAGTTCCTCCAACTGGGTAAATACATTTAATTAAATCGAACTATATATTTTTCTTAAATTCCATGGTACTATATTTCCAAATACTCATTGATCCATCCATGCTAAAAGATAACAATATATCTAGTTTATTTAAAACATCTATTTCTGTGATATTCATTTTGAGCTAAGGAATTTTATTTTCTTGAAGAGGATTATGCTAATAAATCTACTTTATTTAATATGATTAATTGTCTATTTCTTAAATATAATTGCCGTAACAGAAAATTCTTTTTTCTTACTGGTCATAATATCCACCACTTAGAATTTAATCATAAGATCTAAAGGAGATGAAATAAGTAGAATCATAGTCTTTAAAATATATATCATAATCACTGGTGTGAATTAACAAGTTTTAAGAATAATCAATTTATATTTTTGAAATTTTACCAAAAGATGAATATTGGTTTAGGATAAAATTTTGCTAATAATTGTATTTAGTAATTTACATATCACCTGTGTATGTTAAAACTTACTTATTTTCATAATCGATGATGATACCTCCGAAGTCTGAGTTTGGATTTATCATTTACTATTTAATTTAAGTATTCCCTTCATAGTGCAATAAATATCCATTATCAATTACACATATGATAATTAATTCTGAAAAGCTTATATCATCAAAAACATAATCAATTATCTTTGAATTAATCTATGTTGTGATCTAAATCAAATTTTCTCCTGTATTTAAATTATAAGCTAGAATTTAATATTCATCTCTTAGAAAAACTATATTTTTGCTATCGCTTCTCTTAATATCGAATACTGATTAATTAGCAGGCAAAGACTTATAAAAACTGACAAATTCAAAATTACTATATTTAAAAACCTTTAAAAAAAAAATCTTAAAAGGCATTTACCTTAAAATAAATTGAAATGATTGAATTTATTAAAAAAAGAACAAATCATATTACATAAACCGATGATTAGTTAGTAACTATTACCAAATCTCCAGATTTTTAATGAGCTTAAAAATTAACAATCATCTCAGTATTTTAAATTTGAATCTATGCCTCATGTTAAATATCCTTAATTGTTAATATTTAATTACTATTTGCTTTCTAATCTAAAAGAATTTTTTGAATCGATAGATGATCATTTATTAAAATGTATTCAATTTATTAATTTACAAAAATATTTTAAGTTAAAGTAATCATTTTTGGGTATTGTCTTTATAAAATGCATTGATCATTGCAATCAAATATGAAAATATTTGATTCTTTATCAATTATAGTTAAAATATTTTTTTTATCATTCATGACCATTTTTTAAATACTGTTTTCCCATATTGGAGGAATTTAATATAAAATAACTCCACTGTAATAATCAATGACTACTATTTAGTGAATGACACCAGATTTTGTAATAAATATTTTTTAAGAATTTTAATTTATTTCAACGATACTCCTTGAATCAAGGTTAATTATTAGTTTTTCAAATTATTTATTAATGTAGTTGTACTGGTACAATTTACCCCAATTATTTAAGAAAAATATTCTCATAATTTAAGGATCATAATGTGTATATACGACTTCCTCATCAGTGTATTTTAATTTTTACAAACATAGGGCATCGTACTGAATCTTTTTACTTAGTATATCTATTATTTACAGTGATTAATCAGACTATAATAATATTCTTTCTCTGCTTAGGTTTATTAAATTTGTTAAATGATTTTTTTCAGTAAAAGCTTTTTATTGATACTTGATTAGAATGTATTAGCTTTTAGAAAAATCATAAACAAAGAGACAATTTAAGGTAGCAAAAGCAATAATATTTTCTTTTACTAAATCAATATCTTAAATTTATCCATATACTTAAGTGATATTTAAATCAGAGTCAATATCTGAGTCACTGTCTCTAGTATCAATGCTATTTAATTCTATTTATTAGTTAACAAGGATTATTTTTTTATTATTACAATCGATCCTTACTAAAAATAAATTATTGCCATAAACATATAGTTATTTTTGCTCACTCGAATAATTTATAAATTTAGCATTCTATATAGTAATAGTGCCTTGCTAACATATTGACTGCGGTAAACTATCTAATATTATGTCGAAATCATCTATTTTATTTAAGTTCTTACCTTCATATACACTTAGAAATACTCTCTAAGAATCCTATGACTCATACTAAACAATAAAGTACTCATCTACCAAAATAATTTGTTTGCTATTTTAGAACAAATCATTTTATTGAAATTTTTTATCTTTTAAGCAAAAAGATTTATAAGAATTTTCATTCTTTAAAATAACAAAATCTAACTAATTGCTAAAAAAGAAATTTTAGACATTATCAGCAATTTCGAATTGACCTTCCGCTTGACTAGATATCATTAGCTTTATGACAAAAAAATTTTATTTAAATATATTTTAAATATAGATTACTTATGATAAATTGTTCAGGTAAACCATATAGTCTAAACTATTGCTGATAGCAAAATTTGATACTACTTAAGAATAATGAAAAGTTGCAACAGAGTCAAAGTGATATGTGCTTTAATTTAACTTGTACACAATTCCTTAATCAGAAACATAGTAAAGTCCTTAATCTTCAATAAAGTATGACAACCTTACTTTATTTTACAATTGAGTGTATTTAAAAAGTGATAAATTCTCAGTATTATAGAAAGAAACAGACTATATTGCAAAAACAACCAAATATTCTTAAGTTAAAGAAGTTGCTTAATTCTTTATGAGAAAAGAATTCCTAAGCTCTTAGTTATTCTAATCAGTAGAACATGTCGTGGATAAACTTCCTAATTAAAACATTTATGGGCATTCGTCTATGATTTCATAAGCAAAGCTCTGTAGGACTAAAAAGTAGAGAGCTAAAGTTTTTATAAATGTATTTATCATTATTTACCAATATTTTTCTAATTTTATGTAAAAAGCTAATTTTTTTTTATTTAAATTAATAAATAAAACTAAATCATAGGGCAAGTCAAAATTTATACAAGTGCTTTATACTTAAATATTCACATTTTATTTACAGCTATCCCCAAATAATTATTCTGTGATAAACAAATACATTAATAGTAAAACAATACATGCTTTTTTTATAAATTAAAAGAAAATTTTGAAAGAAGTTTCGAACCTGTTCAAAACCTATTTTTTATTTCTTATAAATTTTCTTTTAATAGATAAAAAATATTTATTATTCTACTAGATAAATATTTTCTACTCGTTAATTGCAAAATAATTATTCGATAATAGCAATATTTTATTAATACTTTAAATTATTCAGTAAAATATTATTTCTATATATATTTGCATAAAATAAAAGTAAATAGTACAAGTTCTGAAAATAAAAACAGGTTTGATAAAAATAAGAAGCTAAAACTAAAATTTTAGCATAAAATTCAAATATTTTTATTTCCCTAATTAATTTATTAAAAAATATATTTTAATTTATTCTGATTCTTTTTAAAAAAATATTTTAATTTTTAAAATTAAAACAGATTAAAAATATTTGAAATCAATTTTAAGGATGGATCTTGAAATATTTAAAATATTTTTTGAAAGTGTAAAATTAAAAAAGTAGATATGTCTGGAATGACCCACAAGTAGTTTAATGAAAAAAAAAGAATAAAATCAAGATATAGAAAATTGTAAGATTTAAATAATCTTGGAATGACTTTCAATTTATCGTAGATTAGTATTTTGATAGGATAATTTATTTGAATAATATGCTTAAATTATAAATTGATGCTTGCTAAATGATTTATTGAATAAGTTTGAATGAATTATATTAAGTGTCACTTATAATTTTTATCTTTATAAAATCTTATTATTATTATGTTTAAAATTTTTTTATTAAGGTTTCCATCAAAAATTTAATTAAAAATATAAATTCTTATTCATAATTTGATAATTGTAGATGGGATAGTCTTAAAGTACAAGTTAACTCAATCAATAATCTATAGGTTAAATTCATATAGAAGTGGATAAGACTTAATTTTAGTCTGGAGAAAAAATTTCTGGATAAGTTTTAATTGACTTAAATGTTTCTTTAAAGGCAACTTGCCTTGTAGTGATGCTATAAGGGATAGAAGAAACTCTTTTTAGTACACCAAAATAATACAATGAGAAACATCTTTATTAAGAGAATTAAGTTTAAAGGAAGGGATATAACAAATTTCATGAACTAACGACTGAAGCATATCAATTTTCCTAAGGTAAAGAAGATAGTAGGAATATAATAGGTTAGTGGAAATTACCATTTCAGATAAGCATTGCAGATTATTTACCATCTAGTTTTAATTATTAAGATTAGCAAAACTGTAAGTGTTAGATAAAATATATTCTAACAGCTTATATTTTAGAATCTGATTCTAAATAGAGGCTTTTAACCACCTAAGAAATAGAAATTTTTCAAAAAATTAATTAGGTCGAAAACATAACATATTAAGCCTAAGAGTATTCAAATCCGCTAATTTGTTTTTGCTGCCTTTCTGGTTAGATAGAAATGTAGGCTTAATTAGATAAAAGAGTTTATGACCATTTAGAAGAAATAAAATTAATTTTAAATTGTGATGCATCAAGGAGTTTTATGAAAGTTTCTCGTTTTATAGTAAAATTATAGGGTAAATTGACAATGAGATCAAACAAAAATTAATAAATAGAAAAAGTATTTGACATTTACTCTTAATTTGTTAGCACTGAAAAATCTAAAATTGAAAATAAGCTAGTCAAACTAAGAATTCCTAAATCTGCAAAAATAGGTGCTCTAGGTCTACTAGTTTAATACTAAAATTTAATAACTATATTACCAGTAATGCCTTCACTTTTTTCAGTGAAATCAAATACACCTTTAGAAATACCTTTTTTTATTTCATCAGTTTCTTCAAGGGAGAAATAAAACACTAGTAATTAATCTAATTTGTAAATGGTTTAATTATAAAAAACCAATACATCTAATAATAGTAATAATTAACTGGATTAAATTTAATAATAAAATATTTAAATGCCAATACCTATGATGGTTAATCCTCAATAAAATGTTAATATTAATAATAATCACTACACTCCTTAAAATATTGAATATAAAAAATAACCAAAAAAAGATATCAATTAAATTTAATATTATAAATTAGAAGAATGAAAACTCTCCTTAGAATATTTTTAAATAAAAAGTTACCAAAAAAAAATCCTATTAAAATGAATATCAAATATTAAAATATTAGAAGATTAATAAATCTCTTATAAAAAAAATATACAATTTAAAACTTAAAATTTTTTTTTTGAAAGCTTGAAAAGTATAAAAAAATTAACATAATATTTATATTGATTACAATTAAGATCATTTATTTTATTAAAATTATTTATCTTTGTATTTGTTGAAATTAAAATTTAAAAGTTTTAGAAAAAAACTATTATTAACAATAGACCAATAAAATATTAATATTAATTATAATCACTACACTCCTTAAAATATTGAATATAAAAAAATAACCAAAAAATAATCCCAATTAAATTTAATATTGCAAATTGGAAGAATGAAAACTCTCCTTAGAATATTTTTAAATAAAAAGTTACCAAAAAAATCCAATTAAAATAAATATCAAATATTAGAAAATCAATCAATCACTTATAAAAAAAATATATAATTTAAAACTTAAAAGGTTTTTTTGGAAAGCTTGAAAAGTATAAAAAACTAACATAATATTTATATTCATTAAAATTAAGATCATTATATTTTATTAAAATTAATTATCGTTGTATTTTGTAGAAATTAAAATTTAAAAGTTTTAGAAAATTATTAAAAATTGACCAATAATTTTATTATAAAATAAGTATAAATTTCTATTTTTGATAGAAATTATGATGAAATTCTACATTTTAAATTAATTTTATGTAATTAAAAAATATTTAAAACATTTTATATACTTCAAAGACATTTACTAATTGAAGTTATATATTTATTAATTACAATTAACTTAGATTTACAATTTGCACAAATAGTTTTATTGTTTGGAACAAAATTTATTAGTAATCTTTTGAGCTATTATTTCTTTCAGTAAGTGAATCTCTTTTGTGCAAAGAATTTTTTGAGAGAGAGAATTTAGAAAACACCACTACCTAAAATAATAATTGTTTCAATTATAGTGAATAAGATAACTCTATCATTAATCTTAATATTAGCTTGTGAAAGCTCATCTTCAATCTTACTGTTAAGTTGTTAATAATCAACAAATTCCTTGGCTCTAATCTTTACAGTTTCTATCTTAGTTTGTAAGTTTTTGATGTGATGAGTTTTAGCAGCATCTTTAACGTCCTATTATTTTATAGATAGATAAATAAATGATATGTTATAAATGAATAAATTAATCATATTATTTTATTGCTCTTTAATAATATTTTTTATTATTTATAAAAATAAATATGGAATTTCCCTTTTATAATAATGCTAATTTTTGATATTTACATGTAGTTTACATTATTTAAGACTATTATAAATTTATAGTTTTCAAAATACATTTTATTGTGGAGTGTTAAATTCTATATGATATATAAATTGTCTAAAAAGCATTCAAATTAAATTCTAAAAATATTTAAAATTCTGATTTTGTGAAATTACCTATTATTCTTATTCACCTACGACTAATCTCAATCCATATCTTAACTTTTAGTTCTTAGAAATCCAGTGACTGGTTGTTGTCTTAAGACAGAATTTGTAATTACCACCTAAAATTTTTATTAAACATAAAATTAGAAATAATTAACGAAATATAATGTTATCAAGGATATTAATTCATTTATTTTGTTTTTATTTATAAAGGCTAAATAGTAATTACCCTTGGTAGTAGTAATAGCGAACTTGTCTTTTCCGAAGAGGGTCAACTTTTAAAATACTTATACTTTATCAGGACCATAGACAGTAAGGGTAACACCATCAGTTTTAGATCCATCAGGAACACCAGGCAATTTATCTTTTAAGTGAGTGTAACCCAAAATGTGCTGATTAAATAATATAAAAAATTAAGCTATTTTTGGAAATAATTTTATGAGTTTGTTTAAAAATTCATTTTTATTTCATTTTCATTTCTGATGCATTAGCTATAATATTAGAAAGTGAAATTTGAATTACTGTTTAAGCTGGGATATCATCGGTTAAGCACTTTTCAGTACCTTCAGTGATATAAAAATGAAGGGCTTAAGTAGAGCCAACTATTGCAATTAATAATAATAATAAAGAAAGCTTCATCCTATTTTTTAGAAACTTGATAATATCTTTTTCCTATTTGATTATTTATTTATCAAAATATTATTGTTATTGATACAAACAATGAATTTTTAATTATTGGTATTAGATTTGGATATCTTTTATTAAAATAAAGAAAATTTATAGCTAGAAGGCTGCTTGTATGAGTGTGTGTATATCTTTATTATCAATTTGTTTGCTAATAAATTAAACAAAAAAATAAATATAAAAGAAGTGATCAATTAAAACACATCCTTCCACGTAAATCTTTGAATTTAATTTATGTTTATTATAAATAGCATGCAAAACAGAAATACTGATGAAAATAAATATAATAAATATATTAATTATAGGTTTTGTTTACAACAAACAAACAAGTAAAAAAATCATTCTTTCTTATTTAATTAATTAATTTAATAATATTTACAATATTTTATAATTTGTTATTTTGTTTTTTTGTTTAATGCTAACTATAAATTCTATGAAAATGATTTTATCAGAATTGGAAATTTCTATATTCAGAGTTATTTTTATTAGTGAAACAAAGTTAAATTATTCCTTAAAAACAAGAGAAATGAGTGTTCTTTTTCTTTTTTCTAAAATTATGTTGGCTTTCTAAATCACTATCATTCTACTAATTTTACATTAGTTCATTTGAAAGAGTATCATCTTCTGTGCTTGATTATTCATTTGAACTTTGTTATTAAATTGTTAGTTCTCGATTTTAAAATTTTTGATGAGTTTTCTTTTAATAAACTCCATTAAATCTTTCATGTGTGGTTTTGCCTGTTGCCATATTTGAAATTTAGACCTTAATTAATACTCTAATAACCATAAGTATTATTTTAATAATTTAAATAAATAATTAACTATTTTAAAAAATGAAATTACGAAAGCATTAAGCAAGTGAAAATTCCAATTACTATACATATTATAGATGATAATTTATGAAGGATCAGCTGAGTGTTTTGATTATTAAATTTTAATCCATAATTTCCATAATTACTCTCCATCATATCTTTTTATTTTAATTTTTATATTTAAAATTTAACAATCAAAAACTTAAATTATTTTATTCAATTAAAAAATTTTACACATTGAAGAGGTGACTATTATGAATAGTGCATAAAAAAATGTAGAAAATATGAAAATTGAAAACCAAAGATAGTTATTAGCTCCTACACAATTATTAATCCAAGGACAATGATGATCATAAACTATTACACAACGTTGGCAGTATTCACAATGCTTTGAGCGAGGTGGTCTCAATAATATACATTCGTAGCAAATTTCATGATCATCGTTACTTTACTACAAACACTTTAACTGATATTCTAAATCTTTCTTTTTATCTGTAGTTCTTATATATCCTGGTTCAATTAACCAACTAAGTAAAAATGAAATAAAGCTTATAAATAGTAAGAAAGTTAGCAGTAGTATCCAAAATCCGTTCGTGAAATCTATGAAACAAAATAATTTTGTATTTTATTATATTTTTTAAATTAATTACATGGAATATTAAACACAAAGGTAGCTATAGACACGATCAAAAAGAGAACCATATTTAATATCAAAGGTAGTAGTTTGCATTTTACTGGCTTTTGTGCCGATTTTATATTCATTAATTCAACTAAACCATTCTTTTTTTTTAAAAGTTTAACCATATCTGTATTCTTTTTTTCTTGAGCTGCTTAAATAGCATCTTTACCATCCTTATTTTTTATTCTTGGGTCTGCTCCTTTTTTCAAAAGCTTATTAGCAATATAAGTATTATCTAGCTGGATAGCTGCTAAAAACAAAGGAGTAGCTCCCTAATTATCTTATAAATTTATATCACTTCCTTTAGAAATCAGATACATTACACTTTCAGCAGACCTAATTTGTTAAAAATTATAATAATTATTTATCTGAAAATGGAATACTAATATAAAATAATCTATGAAACTTTATATTAGCTAACTAAAAATAATTTAATCAATTAAATTCTTAAAAATCTGAATAAATATATTTCAGTATTATAATTTATTCCATTTTATGATAATAATATGTATTATGTATTAAAAGAGTATTTCTAGCAGCTTTAAATTTATGAGTTCAAGATGAATTTTTATTTTAAAGTTGACTACTTTGAAAATGCTGCATAATGTAAAGCTGTACCTCCATGCTGATTTTTTAAATCTATGTTTATCCCTTTCTACAAAAAGTAATGCTTTTAAATTAAAAAATAAGCATTCAATTTGTTTATAATTAATAATACTAATATATGTGGGTGATTTCCTTAAGCAGCCAAATGTAATACTGATAAGCCTATTATTAAAGATTAAAAGTATTAGTGAACTTAACTATAAAAAAATATAATTACCTTTTCTAGCTCTAATAGAAATATCTATATTATATTGCATCATTTTTTCTATCATTTCCTAATAAAAATTTCAATAAAAAATAAATATTTATTTAAGATGAGTAATCATTTTATTATATAAGTACTAAATTCCCCTTGTAAACTGACAAATGGAAAGGTGAGTAATCATCTTCATTTTTACTAACTAGAAATTGAGTGATTAATTCATTAGACTGATTATTGCATTTTACTATATATTCTAAGTAGGACATAACTACATCAAAAGTTTCAATGCTATTATGCAAGCAGACATAATGGAGAGCTTTTTTTATTAATTTTATCAAGTAAACAACCTAAATCTACTAAAAAATTATTCTTTACCATTATTATATTTTTTATCAACTGTATCTAAAATTGGAAGATCAGGATTCTCCCTCAAAATATTTATCGCTTTTTCAAAATTCTCTTTTTGAGTTAGCGAAATAAACTTTATAACTAGCTATTAAGATAACTCTTCTTTAGTATTTTAAGAATCTTCCATACTACTGATTTTTATATTATTAAAAATTTTATCCAGAAGGAATATCTATTTATTGGCTATTGATTAACTTTGTTGATAAATATTAACTTTTTATAAATTTTTTACAAAAAAAAGCGGATCAGGTTGTATTAAAAAGATAATTTTAATCTTTATAACAATACATTAATTATTTATTATTTTAATAAATAATAATAATTATTCTAATATTAGTTAATTACTTTTCAATAAATGAATTAAAAATATTATGGTATTTAATTTGTAATCCATTAAAAGCATAAAAAGTAAATAAATTATCAAATTTAAAAATGCTTTTTAATTTTAAAAATCAATTAATTTAATAAAAATGGACAAATTATTTTCAATATTTTCATATTTTGTCTTTAATACTTTAAAATTTGGTAGTTTATTGTCAAAAATTACTAAATACTTAAAAATTAAATGTAAAATAAGTATTTATTACTAAACATGTCAAATACTAAATCATGGTTTGATACCAAAAAGAAATTTTTATTTTCTCTCTGACTTTTAAATTTAAAGAATTTAATCTTAATTATCAAAAAAAAGTAGAGCTTAAAGTTAAATTTTACTAGATTATTTACATTTTATTAAAAAAAAGATCTTAATCCTTGATGATTCTACATAAAATAAAAAACATATTGTAAAATATTATTCTAAATATTAATTTTTTGTTCATATTTTGGCAAATAAAAAACTTTAAAAGAAAACCTTATTGCCTAAAATTGTATTGAGAAATATTTTTATAAAATAATAAAAAATTATTTATTAAAATTAAATATTAATTTTTAGCAATTGAGAACCAAAAAATTATTTTGAATTTTAATTTTATTGACAAAATAAGTGATTAAAAAATACAAAGTATAAATCTATATATTATTTTCAAAGGTATTCAGTAACAACTTCTACTTAATTATCATTGTCTGTAGTTAAAATTTCCTTCTTTTCTTTTTGTTAAATTAATCCAAACTATATTTTTTCTAAATTTTTATCATTTTCTTCAATAATCTTTCTATATCTTTCAATTTATTCAGCTTTTACCTATTAAATATTTAAAATTTTTAAAATTTGTTTTCACATAAACACATAAAGATTTAATGATAGTTATTGATAATGAAATTATTACTTTTTTAACTTCTTATTTGTGTTCTTTGAAGATTCTTTTTTATTTTTCCTTTTTCTTTTCAAGATATTCTTCTTTTCTTTTCTTCTTTGCACCATAGAATCCAGCCATATATGATCTTAATTTAAATATTGATAATTACATTTATTTTTATAATAATCAAAAAGTAAGTAATTACCTTCTTTCTTCTTCATCAAAAACTACTGCAATTTTTTTTTTACCATTTATTCTCTTTTTCTCTCTCTATGTTAATGGAATTTAAGCCTTTTTTTAGGGTTCATTCTTTGCAGCAGCCTTTTTTTTGCTATTAAAATTAAATTTTTTTTTAGTATTCTTGGAATCCTTGTTATTTTTCTATTAATATTTCCCCATTTTATGCTTTACTTTGAATTTGTTTTAATTATTTAACAAAACTTAGAAATTTATTAATTAATTCAATAGTTTTGATAGCTTTTAGAAAAGATAAAATAAGGAATGATTAAATACATTAAGGATATTTATATTTATATTTTGCTCAATTTGATTTATCTAAAATAGAATTACAAATTATTAAAATTTTTAAAAATTATTTTTTCAAGCTTTTTTAAAGTTTTATTTTAAAATTTCTTTGATTAAAAATCAAATTGATTAATAATTCTGTAAATTAGTCAAAGTAAACTATAAATAGGTGAATTTTTATTTTAGTATTTACACCAACAATAATACATCCTATTTTTTATTCATATTCCCTTGTTACATTTATTTTTTGTAAGATCTGTTTGAATTTCTCTGAGTCAATTTTAATGAAAAATAAAAAAAATAGAGCAGAGCAACTAAAATGAAGTAATTCAATTTTTTAAGAAGAAAATATCATTTTATAATATTTTTAATTATTTATTAAATTAATTTCACAGTATGAAATTAATATAAAATATTTGCTGTAGAATTAGTAAATATTTTATTTTAAATTAGAATTTCAAGCAAAATAAGTTTCTCAAATATTTAAAAAAATAAAATAAATAAAATTTATATTTATCTAGTAGCTTAAAAATTGTAAATAAATGGAATAATAATTTTAAATAAAAGTTAGAATAAATTGTTGAAAAATAATAGTAACACTTGATTAACAATTTATTATATTTTTATTTAATGGTAAGCATAACAAAATAATATAGTAATGCTAATTTTTATGACTAAAGATCACAAGCAAATATGAATAAAAAATACTTAATTTAGTAAAATGCAAGTTAGAAATCAACTCAAAATGTTAACAAAAAAAGCTTTTTATTTAATTTAAATAATATAAACTCATCGTTAATTTTTGAAGAGAAAAGTGGTGATTATTATAATGCAAGAATTAATAACAATGTTTGTTTGATTGTTTTTTTTTGCCTATTAGCTTTTAATTTATTTTGAAAAATAAAATTCAAAATATGAAATGATTAATATTTTAAATGGAGAGAAGGATTGGATTTTTGATATAAAAACCAAAGAAAATTAAACGAATTATGTATAATTGAAATAATCATAGATTTTTGAGTGTTTTTATGATTTAATTATGGTTCCTCTTTTTGGATATAAGAAACAGTAATTTAAGTGAGAAAGAAAAAGCAAAAGCAAGATCAAGATTTCTGTATTTAATTTAAGAAAAATTTTGCTTATAAAAGTAATAATCTAAAAAGTTAAAAAAAATAGAAGCACAAATCATAAAATACAAGGAAAAGGAAGAAACAATTAACAACTTATAGCTAGAATAGTAAAAAAAGAGACACCGCTCAACAATAAATAGCAAAGTCTGAAAGACATAACCTTAGTGAATAATAAATTTAAATTCAAAATAATTAGATGACAGAATTATCAACTTAGCTTATGAAAATACAAGGTGGTGGAGATACTCCAGCCCCAAGATTTGGACATACCTTAACGTTAATTAGTAAATCAAAGGCTGTATTATTCGGAGGTGCTATAGGAGACTCTGGAAAGTTTATCATTACTAACGAAACATATATCTTCGATTACGAGTTAAAGAAATGGAAAAAATTAGAATGTACTGGAGATATCCCTTCATAAAGAGCAGCTCACGCAAGCTGTTAAATAGATAACATGACTATGGTCATTTATGGTGGAGCTGCATCTGGAGGTGGTGGATTGTCTAACGATGAACTTTATCTCCTTGACCTTAAGCAATATGATTCAAATGATAAATCTACTTAAAACGGACATTATATCAAAGTCCCTACTTCTGGTCCTACTCCTGGTAAGAGATATGGCCACACAATGGTCTACTCAAAGCCTCACTTGATAGTCTTTGGTGGTAACACAGGAACGATCCCAGTAATATTTATTTCTTATTTTTGAAAAAAAGCTCACTGTTAAGAAAAAAATCTGATAGTATGAATATTTTCAAAAAAAATAATTTTAAATTTCAAACAAATGCAGATTAAAAATTTTTCTTTAAAGTTTAAATCTTCCATTTTTTAATAAAAAATATGCTAACGAAGCCTTAAAAACAAAACAAAAACAAAAAATATATATTTAGGCGTTTATTAACTGAATTTTTTTAAAATATTAGGTAAATGATGTTTGGGTGCTTAATTTAGAAAAGGGTCCATACTAATGGTAAAAGTAATGTATTAACGCAGCAGAGGTACCAGCTGTTAGAGTTTATCACTCTGCATCTCTTTGTTAAACAGGATCAGCAAATGGTATGATGGTCGTGTTTGGTGGTAGAACATAAGACTAGAGTCCCTTAAACGATACTTGGGGTCTAAGAAGACACCGTAACGGTATGTGGGATTGGGTCTTAGCTCCTTATAAGTAAAATTCTGCAATATTACCTGTATGTCGCTACCAGGTAAATGAAATAATTAATTTTATTTATCACATTATATTTTAAAAATCCTAACAGACTTTTTAAATTCAAAAGTTAACTTTGATCGATATTTGAAAAAAGCTTGAAGCTAAACTTTAAAATCGATATTAATAAATCAAGAAGCTCTATTGAAAAAATTTATTTCAATCAATTTAGTTTTTGTTTAAAATAGATAGATATATTTTTATAGATAAATTTTACATATTTAAAAAAATTATTTTTTTAGATTTTACAAAAATCTTGTAAAATTTTATCTTAATTTTATATAATTTTGGAGATCAAATTACTTTGAAAATCTTTCTGATAAAATTCTACTTTTTATGAAATTTATTAAAAACGTATTAAAGTATTTATATTTTTCTAAAATAGCATAGAATTGAGTTTATTGGACCTTTAATGCTTGTTATTGGAGGTAGAACAAGTGGTGGAGAAGAATAAGGAAAGTGTGTTGAAGTTTATGATACTGAGAGCAGTGATTGGTATAGAGTTAATAGCTTTAATAGATATAGACACTCTACAGTTGTGATAGATTCAACAATGTACATTCATGGTGGTTTTGAGCCAGAATTCCCTAATAAGCCCTTAGATTCAATGATTACTATTGATCTTAATTAGATATCTTACTTATTCCCTAAATTAGGAAAACACCTTGGAGTGAAAGATTTTAATAATATTTTAGGTGAGAGAAATTAAATAGATAAGCCTGCATCATCACCTTCAAATCAATTAAATTAATAGTAGTTATAAGCTTAGTAATAAAATAGTAATATGTTTAATTAGTAAACATTTTCAAAAAAGTAAATGTAAAACCAAGCTAATCTTTTGTAACCTTAAAATCAGAACACTAACAACACAAAAGCATACCAATAAACTTTAAGCAATCAAATGCTTGACATTAGTATAGGAGGTATATAAAAGGTTCAACTAAAGTAGCTCAACAATGCCTAGAGATCATACACACCTATAAAATAATAAAAGAATAATAAAGAAATTCGTTTGAGTAATTAAGTTGTAATTGCCAGGACATAAGATTCAGAAAACATGAACCAATATTACAATATGAATAATTATTAATAATAATAGAACTTTTATGGAGGAATTAAAAAAGTTAACATTCTTGATTTATAAGAAGAATCAAAAAAGCTAATTCCATAAAATCAAAATGATCACTCTATGATGCTTGTCTCGCCAGTAGATTAAAATACAACAAGTCTTGCTGAAATGTTTATCAATTCTCTTATGAAAAAACCTGAAGAATGGAAGCACACAGAACTTCGTTTACCTTTCAAAAAAGAATTTATCCTCAGATTATGTGATGAAGTTTAATAAATAGTGTTAGATTAACCTTCTCTGCTTCGCTTACGCATTCCTCTTAAAATTTTTGGTAACATTCACGGTCGCTTCGGTGATTTGTTGAGATTTTTTGGTAACTTTGGTTTTCCCGTTGATGAAGAAGGTGGAGATATTGAAAAGTTTGACTATCTCTTTTTAGGAAACTATGTAGATCGTGGTTTTAATTCATTAGAAACTGTTATCCTTTTGTTTGCCCTAAAACTAAAGTATCCCGATTAAATTCACTTAATAAGAGGTGCTCATGAAGAAAGAAGAGTAAATCGTCTATTTGGTTTTGGAGAAGAATGCGCTGTACGTTTAAATGAAGATATAAATGACCCTACTTCAGCTTATTAAAGAATAAACAGAGTTTTTGATTCTCTTCCATTGGGAGCTCTTATTGAAGAAAAAATTTTCTGTGTCCATGGAGGCTTAGGTCCTCATGTCACCCATGTTAATGAAATTGTAGATATAAAAAGACCAGTTTCACCTTTTTCTAATCCTGTAGTATATGATCTACTTTATTCTGATTATGTAGAAAACGATCCTCTCCCTGTTTCAGAAAATAAAGCAAAAGATTATTTCTCAACAGGATAAACTTTCAAATACTCAGAAGCTAAAGTTGAGAGATTCCTTGAAGAAACTGGTTTAAATATGATAATCCGTTCTAAGGAGTGTGTATTTGATGGATTCTCACGCAGTCAATCAGGAAATGTAACAACCATCACTAGTTGTAGCGATTACATGGGAAAATATGGTAATTCAGCTTGTTGTATTAGAATAAAGAAAAACTTTGCCATAGAGCCAAATATTATATCAAGGCCTTAATTCAGAAATGGAAACTGGGTTGGTGCTGAAAATCCTGTTAAAACTAACTTGTATTTTACAGAGGAAGAACAAAAAATACGTAGACGTTTAGCGAGTCCATTGTAAAAGCAATATTGAATTAATTGAATGATTGTCTTCATTTTTGGCTTGATTTGCTAACTTTTTATATTTAAAAAGTAATGAATGCTTGCAAGCGGTCGTTTATCAATTCATAAATTTCTTAATTAAATAAATAAATAATTTAACTTTTATTACACTTTAACAAATATTATAAAAACACTTTCTTAGTAAATAAAGTAAACACTCAATCTCAATTAAATAAATAAATAAATCTGCAAAATAATATTGAAGCACAATAAATAATAATAATAAAAATTAATAACTGCATTGCTTAACCTAAAATGTAAAATAAAAATTGGTTGATTTTAGGTTAAAAAACATATTTTACAATAGAGAAATTTACTCTAACATTTTCCTTATAACTAACCAACTAATTGATAATAATCTAATAGTAATATAATAAATACATAAATAAATAAAACTAATATTTGAAAAAATATAAAATTTATTCTCTTATAAGTAAATAAGTAAATAAGTAAGTAAATATATAGTTTTCTTATATTAAAAATAATATGCAGAGTAAAAAATCAATGACATATTTGTCTTGAACATAGCTTTGCAAATAGATTTGCATATTTACTTATATTTAAAGTAAACATCTCAAAAATGTAATAATTAATTAATTCTCTTTTAATTAAAGAATTACTTACTTACTATAAATAAGTCAATTATTGATTGATTGGTTGATAAAAATTATTGAAAGATGTGAAAGCTATTAAGTTAAGTACATTAATTACAAAATATAAAATCGTATTTACTTTTTAACTTATTTTTTATTTTGTATATATCTTATAATTTTATAATTCATAAAACATTTTATGCAATTCATATTTTCAAATTAAATATTTTTTTAATTCAATTTTTTATAAAATTATTAAAAATATCTATAAACACATTAATTATTATTGTTTTTTTAAAGGAATATACGATGAATTTATCCTTTAATTCTATTCGAAAAACTATATTTTAGTGAAAATAATCCAGTTAATTATTTTAAAATGAGCATCAAACTTTATTTAAAGTTAAAGTCGTATTTCTATCTTCAAATAAGTATTTTGTATCATCCCAAATCTTTTATTTTTATTTGAATTTAGCCATCATCATCATTAAGTGTATCTTTAAATAAAAGATGTTTAATTTACTTAATATATTGCTTTAAAATAAAATCTTCGTTTTGTAAAAATTAGTATTTTGAATTTAAGATAATTCTAATCAACTTTTAAAATCAATTAGAATTATTTTTTATAATAAAATGAATTTATATGAATGTAGATTATTTAAATATAATTTGAATTTCAGAATAATAATAACATTTCAACTAAAATTGAATAATAAATTATACTTATTTTGCTATTTTAATTGTTTATTTGTCATTATTGTCTCTTGAATAAACCATCAAATCGATATTATTTTTTTTATTAGACCAAGGAGAGGCTTTTTATAATAGAAGTAGTTTTCCCATTTAGTTATGTCCCTCTCTGTAAGCGAAATATAAAGGTGTCCTACCCAACTATAATATAAAAAAATTTAAAATAATAAAATTACATATAAATTTTACCTCATCTCTTGAATCAACATCACAATTTTTACTAATTAACATTTCTGCTATTTATAAAAAACCTCTCTTTGCTGCCCAATGTAAAGGAGTTTATAGAGTCTTTGATTTTAAAATTACTTTAAAATATAATTCATTTGGATAAATAAGTTACACTATCAAACTAATAAACTAAATATTTATCTTTAATTAGATATTATTGAACTTTCTGTATTTCGTTAGATTTGACAGCAGTGAAAAAATCTTCTGCAATAGGCTTTGAAAATGGTACTCTCTTAAAAATGTTATGAATAATTGCCTTTATTTTATAATACGAAGCCATTATCAAATAATTTTTTTATTTAATAAATAAATTAATTTAATAAGTTTAAAACTTTATTTACTTCTTTGATTGTTACTCCTAGAGCATAATGCTTCCAAAGAGATTCTCTGAGTAATTTACGAATCTTTTTATATCTTTCTTTTTCAAAATTATTCACTGTATCCTTTGATGAGATTCCATTAAAAAGTTTGTCATAATCAATAGAATTATCTGTTTCATTTAAATTTTGAATTTTGATTCTACTTTATTCTTTTTCTTATTCTTCCTCATAATTTTTATATGAAAACATAGTTTTTTTTTTATATTCTTAAATGTCCCTATCCTCTTTTTGCTTTTGGATCTTTAATTATTTTTGCTATTCCTCTTTTTCTTTCTTTGTCAAATTTATATCTATTTAACTCTAAGCAGTAACATTTCTATCCCTAAGATATAACTTTTTTATTTCATTTAAATTCAGATCTTCTTTTTGATTAGCAGGTTAATATCTAAATTTTTAATTTTATTAAGAGTTAATTTTCATTGAAAGGGAATCAATCAACTGAATTATGAGTTGATTGTTATAAAATTAATTAATCATTTTACTTTATATTTTACCAATTAAAGTCATACATTTTTGTAAATTCTAATTTATTTAGACTTCTACCATGCTTGATATCCTCAAGTCTTTCTGAAACACTATCATAATAATTTTAGAATTTTACCTTATCTTTTTTCTTAACATAACCTCCTTTAACTAACTTGATTTGAGCAATACAAATGCTGCTTTACATTTTATGCTGAACTTTTTGATTTGCATGGAAAGCAGTTTAATTAATTTCATCACTTTATTCTGTTTATATGGATTTAAATAAATCTTTTTTATTCTTGAAGTTGTTTTAGTCCTACTTAGCAAAAAAGTTATTTGAAGATTTTCCAAAACTTGATCTAAGGGTATTATTATCATAAAGATATCTAGAGGATTCATCCTTTCGCTATTAATTATTTTAATTTTTCTCAAAACTATCACTGAATACAAGCTTTGTTTGATAAAATTAATTATTCATTGTGTTGATTCTGTCTTTCATTGAAATTTTTTTGTTATAATCATAATTATTAGCAACATTAATAGAAGGATAACTACTCTTTGTTTAAAGAGTGTGGGCTTTTCTGCTCAGTTATTCATCAATACTTTCTTTCAAGTTGGCCCAATCAGCTGAGTCTATTTTACCATTTTGAATGATAGATTTGGCTTGTTTTAAAGGATCTAATTGTTCTATTGTTCTTTGTTTATAAGACTAAGAAGAAGCTTTACTAAATCCTGTTTACATTGCTTAATTATGGAAATCATTGCTCTGTAAATTATGATGAGAAACTTAATTGTAATATTTTTTAGTTTGTTTAAAAAAATTTTAAGAACTCCATTTGATTACTGGATCTCTACCAAACAAATTGGATTTAGGAGAATTTAGAAGATCAACTGAATTCTTTATTTACTATTTAAATTTATTTATGATGTTTTTAGAGCTTTTAGACTCTCTCATAGTATTAAAATCCTCTATTTAAATCATTGAGTCTTCATAAATTGAACTACCAGCTGGTCTATAAATTTATTTTTCCTTTTTTTTATCTTTTTCTTACTGATCATTTGTAAATAATTCACTAAGTCTCACATACATTCTTAATATTTAGCTTATTAAATAGACGGATGTCTTTCTTAATTTCTTTCTACCTCCTTTATAGTATAAACTATTTATAAAATTCTTTTTATTTTGATGATGAGATTATCCTTTTAAATAACTTAAAAATAATCAATCAATTTAATTATTAATTTCTTTTGTTAAGATAAACCCCCTTAATTACTATTCAAATAATGATGATCTTAACACAAAATAAACTTTTAATAGAATTTGAGGAATTTGTTAATATCTTTAATAATTACTTATTTAAAAAAAAAAAAAAAAACAAAAATAAAGAATTATTAATTGCAGTTAATAAAATGGCTGACAATAGGCTTTTGGAAAATAAATATTAATTAATTTAAAGATTAGATGAAGGTGCTATAGGGTAAGTCTTTAAGGCTTAGAATATTCAAACAAAAGAATATGTTGCTGTTAAATAAGTAAATATAAAGTTGTTTAGCAAATCAGAGCACCTTTATACTTTATTTGAGCAAGAAATAGAAAATCTTAAAAAGACCAAATCTGTGAACACTATCAAATATATTGATCACTTTAATGATGATAACAATAAGTATATAGTGGTAGAGTATGTTGATGGTTTTACACTTAAGAAGAAGCTCGAGCAATTATAATTAGAAGGAAAAACTTTCTCAGAAAATACAACTATTTCCTATTTTATTTAACTTTTGAAAGGTATCAAAGATCTTCATAAAAACAATATCATACACAGAGAGTAATTTCTAAAATTTAAAATTATATTTTTGTGTTAACTCTGATAATAAAAAATTCACTTAAAAAAATTTTAATTATTTGTAAATAATGCCAATTAACTAAATTGATAATAACTAGATGGATTTATTATTTTTAATAGTTTAAAATTAGAAAATATAATGATAAGCAAAGAAGGAATAATTAAAATAATTGACTTTGGCTCTAGCAGAGAACTAAAAGAAGGATTCTCAGCAAATACTTTGGTAGGAACTCCATATAATATGGCTCCTGAAGTATGGTTTTAATAGGACTATGGCAGTGAGTGTGATATTTATAGGTAATATTTTAAATAAATTAATATATTTATTAATATATTTTATAATAATAGCTTAGGAGTTATTTTATATTAAATGTTGTTTGGAGAGTATCCTTTCTTTACTAAAAATATAACTTAATTATGGGGCATAATTAAAGAAGGGAATATTGATTTTAATAAAGGAAAAATAAAGATTAGCTAAGATATGCAAAACCTTATCAGAAGAATGCTTAAGTATGAATAAGATTAGAGAATATCATGGTAAGAGATATATAACAATATTATTTTCTAAAACTATCTTCAAAATACGATGTAAACCAACTAAGTTGAAGGCATAAAGCTTAAAAAACAGAAAGAAGAAGCATTAGACATATACACCAGTATTTAAAAAAAGCCCAAAAAAGAAGAAATACCTGGTCCATCTGAATTTTCACTTGATGATATGATGTATAATTAATATTATACTAAGAAACAGGTAATTTTTACTAAATTTAATTTGCTAAAATATTTTTAATTTTTAGGACTATGAAATAATTATATATACTCTCTAAAAAATTGCAATTCTTCCTGAGAATGTTAGGAATAGATGTCTAATATTTATTTTAAGCAAGTTGGCTTATACGAGGGCATCCTAACTTTATTAAGATTTATAAAATCTTTTTATTTAATTCGACAAGAGTGAGTAGCTGAAAGAAAAAGTTAGTAAGAATTTGGAGGAAATCAAAAAAATTTATGAACTCACAATAAATGAATTGTAGTCAGATGAAATCAGTAAGATGAGGAGCAATTCATTATTTTGGGATAATATTCAAAGCGAAATTAATTAATTTGATAAGTAAAGTGATTAATTCAAACAGAACTTTGAGAATACTTTAAAGAATCATAAAAAATTAATAAAAGATCACTTAACTTCTTTAGAATAAAATGGTGAATCAAAGGAAAAAGAATATTATAAAACATATATAATTTCTTTTCTTCTTTCATTTAGAATATTTGAATTAATAGATTCTAAAGAATTATATAAAATAAAAGAGGAATTTGAGTAATTAGAGTACTAATAGTTATTAAGTTAATTCAAAGCTAGTCTCTAGAAGCTAGTTAATTGATTTATTTATATTTTAAATGAATTTATACACTAAAAAATCATTATTAGTTAACTCTTTATAATAATTATATTTTTTAATTTTTTATCAATCTAAATAAAGTTATTTAAGTTGATAAATTGTTTTTATTTTTTTTATTAAAATCCTCAAACACAAATAACCATAAATTAGGACTTTCTAAACTGTTCTTTATTTTAGAGTGATTATTTAATTCATTACTCAGAACCACTCATAACAAACTAGTTAAATGATTGATGTTTTTAAGTGAATGGGCATTTGTTTGCTAAAATTATTATTCTAAATCATTAATAAAATTATATTAATTAATTTTTTATTTTAAAAAATCATTTTTGATTTTTTTAGCTTAAAAACCCTCAAGGATAATACTTACCTAAATACTTATTAGCTGTTCTTTACTTTATTATACCATTAGTTATTGAATCACTTCTAAAACTAGCCTTAAAAAAATTATTATTTTATATAATACAAATTTAATTGCTTGTTTTACTATTTGTTAGAAACATTTATTTTATTTTATCAGCTATTTAAATATAGAGTTTATAAATTTTTTATTTTACAAAAGAATTTTTGATTTTTAATCAAAGATCCTAATTATATTCATTAATGCAAACTTATTTAAACTGTCCTTTACTTTAAATAGGATAAGTTATTGAATTAATTCAAAATTAGTTTTTGATTATTATGAGCATTTGATAAGATATTAATGAACTTATTTTAATTGGCAATAAAAATTACATTTTTTAGTTTGCTTTTTTTCTAAGTAAAGCTATTTAAATTAAATTAATTAATTTATTTTATTTTAGAAAAAATAGATACTATTCTTTTAAGTAAAGACCTCTTATATAAATAGTTATAAATAAATATGTATTAAACTATTTTTAGTTACTATTTAATTTACATTTTACACTTTAAAATAAATAATCTTTTCATGAGTTGTCTGTTTCATCTTAAAAAGATAAATATTTTTGGATTACATTATTTACTTCTCCATCGATTTGTTCCTTGAATTTTTTGTGATAATAAAGCTTAAATACACCAAAAAGTATAAAGAACATAACAAGGGCTGAGAGGAGTATTGTTAAAATTATATACCCAGGATTGATTGAATCATCTTAATATTCAAAGTAATCATAGCAAGCAGAAGGAACAGGATCTTGGAATCCTCCACATATAGCACTCTCAACTTCTTCAAGAGATTATATATCACCTCTTATTGCCCTTTAGTTAACGTAAAGTTCAGGCCATATTTGTACAGTTTCTTGCTAAAAGAGAATTTTCTCTTTTTCTAACAAATCGTTATCACCTTACAAATCTGAGTTTTTAAAGTGCTTAGCAAAGCACTACTCATTAAAATTAGTGATATTATATCCGTTATTTTTGGCTACATCAGTTAAGCATTATAATGGTAATTATCTATTCTTTTCTTAATATAAGCAAATAAAATCAAATTTAAATAGTGTTTGAGTCAGTTTGTAAGAAGAATCTAATTCTTATAAGCAAAGCATAGCTAAACCAATCAAAACTTCATCCTTCCCTTACAATCTTCCTGGACCATCAGGATCATTTGCACAATATTTTCCTAAAATAAATACCAAGCTAAATATGATTGATGTATTTAAAATAAAAATATAATTACCATTAGAAACACATGATTCTGTTTTATAATTTTAACTAGATTCTTATTAATCAAAGGTTAATGCTAAATGGATTCTAAATTTCACATCTGAGCCTAATTATTATTTAATAACAACAATCAATTTCTTATTCCTAAATGCTAAATCATACCTAAATCCTAATGCAAAGAAGAAAAGCGATAGAAAAAGGGATAATTATTAGAATCCAATGGATCAAACCAATAGTCAATGCTTACAGGTCCTTATTTCGCTATATTTCTAGGGAAAAAGCATTGACCTTTTAATACACCATTTTATTTCTTAACTTCATTAATTATTTGATCACCAATGCTTTTAGAGAATAAAATAACTGGAATAGTAATTTTATCACCTGATTTTTACAAATAAAATAATTTATTTTTGAGATTTGATTTCAAAATAAATATTTATTTATTCAATTATTTACTTACTTTTAACTGTATTTAGCATGTGTACTTCATCAATAGAATCATGATCAGCCATAACTATCAACATTTTGACTTTGGATTATTATGCTGCCAAAGCTTTTTATATTACTGAGCAATTTCCATATTTCACAAGAAGAAATTACTATTTTGCTGCTAAGTTTGTGCTATTAAAACATCCATAAGGATCTGTTTAATTTGAAATAATCATTTTTCCTGATAATATTTTTCCATATGGAATATACCCAAAATCAGCTGATCTAAAATGAATTACTATATAATTAAGTTAACAAAAAATTTAGTTTTCACTTCAATAAGATTTTAAATGAACGCTTTACAGTCTGGAAAAGCAGGTGATTCAATTTTAAAAGAAGCATTAACTGATTGTGTAAGTATAATCAAGAAAATAACTAAAGCTATTTTAATCTATTTCATATTATATTTACTCAAAATTTTACTTTTTTCCCTTATCAAAAATACTCTGATAATAACAATTTACACAATATTTAGTTGTTAATAATAGTTTGATATGTTTATTAAGGATAAATTATTTCACTCTTTCTTCAAAAAATATATGCGAATAAAAGATGATGAGAATCTATACTCCATAATTAATTTTATATAAAATAAACACTTAATAAATCTAAACATAAATATAAATCATATTTTATTCTTTCATATAATAAATAATAAATAAACTAATCAAAATTTTACTTTCTAAAATATTTTAAAATTTAATTGTAATGAACAAACAAACTTGAATTCATTTTAATCATTTAATTTAATAGTAATGAACAAACTTGAATTTGATTTAATCATTAAGCCAAAATTATATGCTTAGTTAATAATATTCTTAAAGTTAATTTTCTGATCTAAAAATTTATTTTTAAAAACAATATAATATTGAACATTCTAAAAATGTTCAAAATAACAAATTTTGTCTAAATTGATTTTAAGAAAAATAATTAAATCTGGTAAATATTGATAATTTTAAGTTTAATAACTTAGAGTAAATAAATAGAGGAGTTTTTAATAAATATTTAAAGTAAGTAACAAGTCTATAATTGAATTAGCTTTCTTATAAACGTCAAAAGTTGTTTATTATTAATAAATTATTTTGTAAACAAAAAATTTATTTAGACAATTATTAAGATAAACTTAGCAAAATGAATGCTGATTTAGAAAAGCAATTGAGTGATTCTAGATTTAAAAAAAAGCCATCTAAATCAGAATATATAGAAATGGAAGAATAAATAGAATAACAGAATGAAGAATAAAGTTAAGAATAGTAATAAAATCAGTAGCAAATAAATGTTGTTTAACCTTTAGATTAAGGAGTGGGAAATAGCAAATCTTCTGTTAATTTAGAAACTTAAGAGCAGAAATCAGCCTAAAATCAGGAAAGCTTAGCAGCAAATGTTGAGAGAGTTTAGGCTTAGGAAATTATAAATCAAAAATATAAAATGGATAATTATTTGGTTGGTGGTGGCCACACATTTTTGTTTTAGCGCAATAATGTGAATGAATAAAGTGATTAGGCAATTGATGAAATAAAAGAAGAAGATAAAAGCCAGAAATAAAATGACAGCGCAGAAGACTAAGAAAAAAAAATACAGATTGAATAAAATGAGAAATTATTAAAAGAATAGGAAGACATTACTAGTTAAATTTTATCTGGAAATTTAAGATTAGTTCACTTTTCAAAAAAAATACCACGTTACATTCCTTGGTTAGTGTTATCGATATCAGTTGTCTTAGGTGCATCTATTCCAACTTCAATTTTAGTTATAGATGCAAGCAGGTACGTTAAAGCTTTTTGGAGATTTTAAATGACAGTATTTTGGATTATTCCCTTTTGTATCTATGAATATTTTGATCCTTCCTACTAAAGATATTACAAATGTGCTTATATATTTTAATTAGATAATATGAAGCAATCATATATTTCAAGTTTAGGTAAATAATATTTATTATTTTTTGTCTGTTAATTTAAACTTATCTTCTATTAAAAATGAGCAATAAATATATAAATAAAACATAGATCAAATATAAATATTTATTTTCCAAGAGAATTTTTTTGTTATAAATATTTATAATAGGATTGTATATACCGAATAAGATTACTTCTACCTACTAAAATTATAAAGAAAAATGTTAACGTTGCTATTATATTTTAAAAAAGAGGGTATTTTTGTTTATAAGTATTATTACTAGCAAAAATACAAGAAAAATCATTAATTTTATAGTTTTAAGCTCTAACCAAATGTTTAATAATTTTGAATTTTCTTTTCTTTTTAAGATTTTTTAAATAAATAATTACATATTTTTTTTATTTGATTAGGTAGTTCGATATGGTTTACATTTATTCTCTTTTCCTTTGACTATACTTCTGTTTCTCATTCTATGCTTCTTGGCAGTTTATCAAACTTTTTCATGAGTGCAATCAGAACTTTCAAGAAAGGATCTAAAAAAATAGAATTAGAAGTTGTTGGCTTAACTCTTGTAATTATAGGAGTTTTTTTAGTTTTTATTGATTCTATAACAATGGATGAACTTCAAAGCGATAAAAGATATTAAGGATTCGACATGGTAGATTTTTTAAACAGACCTTGGTGGGTGAGAATTATAGTTGGTGACTTTTTATGTTTACTAACTTCATTCATTGTGTGCAGATTTGGCATGCTGAAGAAAGATGATTAAATGATTTATCCAACTTACTTAAGTAAAAAAAAAATTTACTTTTTTGAAGCCAAACTGTATTTTGATTTTGATATTTTATTTTTAAAAATAGACTTATTGATGATGTCGATTTTTACAGCTATGAACATGTTCTTAGTAAGTTTAATTACAGGTTGCACATTTAGCACAAACGCTGATGGAGTATTTGCTCTTTTTACTCTTAAGTATTTCTTTATTTATCTAGCTATAGCATTATTTAGTGGACTTGGACTATTTTTAAGTTACATCTATATATCTAAATTTTTCGAACCTATTGTATCGGCTAGTGCTTATCTGTTTGAACCCATAGTTGCAACAATATTGATTTATATTTTTAACATAGAATTTTTACCAGGACCATTTGCATGCTTAGGTTATGTTTTTGTTCTCCCAGGTTAATTTTTGATTTTATTGACAAGACATTTAATATAAATAAGAATGAATGCTTTAAAATAAAAGCAATTGCAGATTTAAGAAAAAGAGTAAGCTAAACTACAATGAATTTATATTTTATTTATTTATTTTTAAATTCAGCACTAAAATACTTTTTATTTATTAAAAAAAACAATGCTGATTTAATTTAAATTTGTATAAATTAATTATATATTTTTTATTAACTTAGATAAGTAATATGTAATTATTTAAGAACTATGAATTTAACATTATTAAAGTGTAATTTGAGTTGTTTATGCATGATATATTATTATTTATTTAATTTTAAGTAATTTATAATATTAAAAATTGAATTTATTGTAAATTATATTTAATATTATTAAATTTTTTTGTTTCTTTCTAGATCTATCTGCTCAGCAAGAGCAAAGCTTAGATAATCTGTAGGTGTTTTCTCCATTATCTTATATAAATTATATCTCATTTTGATAAGGGTAATCTATTTATTTTTTAAGCTCTTAAAAATGTATTTACTCCAAGTTCTTATTTTCTTAATTGCATTGCTATTACTTCTACTTATGGCTTTCTTTGAGCTATTACATTTATAAGAAATCATTTTTATTATTACAAGTTGGTTTATTGTTATCTTCTTTGAAATATATCTAGCTACTCGCTTTGTTGGTAAAAGATTGATCAGAAATAGATTCAAAATTTTCATTCTTTTAGGTAGGAATTCCACTAAATTTCCTTATTTAAATGAATTTATTTTAATTTTAATCTAGGTTATTTTAATTCATAGATATTAAATTAGGTATTTATTTTTATGATTAAAAGTACCCTAAGTTACCTAAAATTTATGTGTATTCTCTCAACTAGTTGCCTAAAATAGCGTTTTCTTGAGATAAAATCTCTAGATTTTATTCTTTATATAACTATTAATCCAAAAGATATTCTATTTATTTTTGCTATTCTGAAACTTTCAAGATAAGACTTTTATTTTACTGGGTCATATTATAAAGCTAATTCATTTGAAGTACTCTAGCTTTATTTTAATCATCATCTTTGTTTTTTTCAAGTTTAGAGAGAGATTATCTATTCCTACTTTCAATATTTATCTTACAAGTTCCCTCTAAAGATTTTTTTCTAAACGAAACATAGTTATGTTAAGTTTACAAATTATTAATTAAACTTGAATCGCCTAATTAATGGATTTAATCATGAGCTTTATAGCTTTACATCTATTATTATGCTTGTACTAATTTGTCTTCAAACTGTTTACACTTTATTTTTTCTTCATCAAGTTCTTTCTTTAAGTTTAACACAATTTCTTAATTTTTTTCTAAGAACTTCGTTTTATTTCTCTCATTTTAGAGCTATATTTATAAATCTTAAATTTTTCTTTCTTAAATGAACTGCTACCTATTATTTTCTTAGTTTATCTTTTAAAGTTCTAAACACTTTTCTTTCCAGCTTCCCTCTTCTTCTTAAAAGCATTTTTGAGATGTTAAGTTCTCCTTTTCTAAAATAAGTGAGTTTCTTTTTGTATGAAGATAATGGGGAAGAGTTCCTTTTGTTTCTTCTTAATCCTGAATATGATCTTCAGCTGAATTAACTTAACTTTATTTAGATTAATATTCCTCTGTTGTTTTTAAGCTGCTTCTAGAATTAAAAGAAAGTAAATCTTTTCTCTACTAATCAGATTGAGAATTAGAAATTGATGCTAATTTTGTCATTTTAGGTTCTATCGAAATTCTTCTTTCTGCTTCATTTTTAATCGAACAAATTTCTTTCTATTTTTAATTAACATTTGATTGAATCCATTTTTGATTTGACTAATTTATCTTATTTATTTATCCAGTTTAACTAATATTTTATTTCATGCTATTCATTTATTAAACTTTGTGCCTTTTATTTGTATTTTTATTTAATTATTTATTTCTACTTTTTTAACAGCTATTTTTTTATAAATTATGAAATCAATTCAAATTAAAATTACAGATAATAATATAATCTAACACTACAGTTAATTAAATTTTTATTTAAAAATGATTTAATTAACATAGTCATTTTTAAGTTAATTTAATTTTTTTAATTTTTTTCTATTAACCTTTTAATTATATTTTTAAAATATTTTTATCTATATAAAATCACTGTAGAACTTCAATAGAAGAACACTTTTTGAATTATATTTAGTGAAATTAAACAAAATTTTTTTACAAAACCTTTTTTACTTATATATCAAAATTTTAACATAAAATTTGGGGTTTAAGGTAGGTATACTTTTATGATTAAAAGGACTTATATTTCTCAATCGTCATAGAAAGGTTTCTTATATGTATATTTGAATGAGCTTCAAAAATTGTATTTATCAAATTAAATTTTTAATTTTATTAATTTGTTAATTAAATAAAATTATTTTAAGTAAATTATTTGATTAAAAGAACTAAAATGATTTATGAAATATCTTTATAATAAAATAAAATTAATGCAAAATCTTAATAAAATAGAAAATTTTGTATAAATCCTATAAATATTTATAACTTACAAACTGTAGGTAGGTTGATAATAATTTATTTCCTTTTTTTATGATTGCTTTAATCCTTAACCCTTAAACTTTTAAATTAAAAATTGAAAAAATTAATTCAGTAGAAAATTGTTCAAGCTTAGAAAATTTAATGAGTAATTAAATTCATTAATGATCAATGATTTGTTCTTAAATGACAAAAATGAAATCAGAAGCTCATTAGAGTCATATTAAAATAAAAAGTTAATATTAGTAATAAAAATATCATTTTTATTTTTTTATATTATTGTTTAAAATTATTTTCTAAGTATTAAAATTTATGTTCTATTTAACAATCTATTAACCATTAGTAAAAAGTAAATACATATATTTTCAATAAAATAAAAAAGAAAAACATGTTGGATAGTAAAAATGTTTTTGAGTTTGATTAACCATAAATTTATTTAGATATATATACCAATTATGAGCTATTCTAAGCTTATCACTATTTGTGGTGTTTTTTGTTTTTTGAATGTTGGAACAATACCAAAATTAATATTTTCTTAATTATCAAAAAAGAAACTACATACAAATCATATTTTTATAGATTTTCCTTTTGTCATTTATCAAAAAAATCTATTTTTCATGTGATTGAATATAACTTGTCTTTTGTAAATTTAAAAGTGGTAAAAAATTTAAAACCTAACATTTTCAAATCCTATTTAATAGAAATTAAAAATGTAAGCTTAGATTTTAAGATAGCTAAAAATACAAAAATATAGGAAAACCAAATAACTATTGCATATTTAAAAAAGTCAATTATGAAAAATGTTCAATTAATTAGCAAAAAATATATCTAGCTTTATTTGATAACTTCAAAAGATAATAGGATGCTATTCAGAAATATTAAATTTATTCATTAAATGTATTAGAAAATATATTGATAGAAAAGTATAAGTTGTAAAATTAATTCTATCAAAACTTAAAATTTTAAGGCTTTTCAAAGATTCAAGCTTTGCTTGAATATTCTACTTAGCTAATTAGAAGCAAATAAATAAATAAATTCTTTTATGAATCTTAAATTCTAATAAAAGTAATTACAAAAAAGGCTGGCTTTTCTTTAATACTTGTATGTACGGTAACTACTTTCAAATTTATTAAACTTTTGACAATATTGTAGAGCAAGGGGTAAGTATTTTTTAAAAAGATAGAATTTAAATAAAGAAAAAGAAGATCCTTAGTATAGAATTAAGCAGTGATTTTCACTGGTTAAAAATCATTTATATACCTTTTTATCATGTCAACAACTTATTTTGTGCAATATCTATGTTATGATTGTATTTTTTAAATACTTGTTATCTTTTGTAGTTGTGAAAATTAGTTTCCATTATTTCAAAAAATATGATAAAATATCCAAAGATTTATATTACATTTTATTAAAATATAAATATCATTCCTAAAAATTAAGGAATATGAATAATAATTAAAAACAAAATAAAATCAAAAAAGAAAAAAATCTTCCTTAAAATCATACCAAATGAGATTTAGTGTATTTTTACTAATTGTGATTCTTGCAATCGCTTCTTTTGCATAAGCCTAAGAACATAATGCTAACAATCATTCTTCAAAGTAAAAAATGATTCCTGTAAAACTTTATGGAAAACATGGTCACAAAGTATAGTGCTCTCCCACTGATAAAAATTGTAAATGCTGGGATTGTTCATCTGGATATCTCCTCCATTGCAAATATACATGCTGATATTAATAATAATAATAATAATATAAAATACTATTTTACAATATGAATTTCTATTATGCAGATTTATATTATTACATTAAAACTATAAATTTACTTTATAATTAATATTCCTTCAAAAAAAAAAAATTTGTTTTTATGTTAAATATAATATCAATATATTTTTTTAATTAATTAGTATCTATAAAAAAAAACAAAAATTAAAAACATCTCAACAATAATTTCTATTATCAATTTCGAAAAAATATATTGAAAAGAAGTATCAACTTTCATTAACTATTTAATTAAATATTATGGTTATTGTCATCCATGAAAAGATTTAATTAAAATATTGGTTTTTCTTTGAAAATAGAATTTTATGTTTTTATTTTCCCCATAAAAAAAAGTAAGTAAGTAAATAAATAAATAAATAATTATTACAGCTAATTAAATTCTATTACTGATATTTAGAGTTAATATTTATTATTATTATTTTTATTTAAACAGTTAAAAATCAATCAAACATTTATCAAAAATATTTTAAAAAACAAGCTTATATTTTATTTACTATATATCTACCGTATACCATTTTTTCATTCTGCCATATAACCATATAATACTGTAATCAATTTATAAATTATTTTAAGAAATTTAATATCAAAAATCTATGATAGAAAGGGTGAGCGTACTTTTTTATTAAATTTTTAGATGAATTTTTATTTTTAAATGTTAAAAAAAAACTAACATAAATAATTTGTCATAATGGATATTGGATTTGTGTCAGCTATGAAAAATAAATTTAAAACTTTTCCAATTTTAATTAATAATAATCGATCAATAATAGTTTAAATTATATCTGATAATCAACAATAATATGTTAAATGAAAATTTTAATAAATATTTGCATGTTTAGAGGTTAAAGATTCTTATAGAAATTTAAAATATTATGATACTGATAAAATTATTTAGAGAGTTATTTGAATCAAAGTAAATTAAAGTAAAACATTTGTATGTAAATTAAGTATGGTACTAAACAATATAATTGTTTTAATTTATATATTTATTTATATTTTAAGTATTTATTTATTGATCAACATATGTAGAAACATTTTAAGTCATTATCAACTAAAATACAGTTCCAACAAGAGCAATCTTGTGTAGTAGGATCACAAGGACATGTTTCAACATTAGGATCACAATTATATCCTGATTAAAGAACTCTAACTGCAGGACTAGCAACAGCAATACAAATAATAGCTAATAAAAGAATGAAAGTAAATTATTTGTTCATCTAGACTTTTTTTGAGATTTATTTTAAATTTGGTTTTTAATCTTTTTTTTTATTTTATTTTTGATTATCTCAATATTAAAATATAGAAGTTAATTATTTAAACTAAAACTTTTATAAATAATCCATATGTCTTAGATATGTACATTCACTTATAGATTTTAGATTCTTTAATTTGAAATGCAAAAATAATATAACTAGTTGATATAATTCCCCTTATAAAGCTGGACAGCTAAGATTCTTTTTTCTAAAAGCTGGCTACAATTTTAATTTTTAATTCCCTACTCCTGCCTAAATTCTTTAATTAAATTCTGGTAAAATTCAGATATATTCTTTGAATAGTTTTATTTATTTGTATCATAAAAGCCTAAAGAATTCTAAAACTATTTTTACTTAAGAGTCTCAGATGAGCAATAAATCCATCATTTTCTTGTTTAAAATTATTTTAGTTTTATACCAGATTGTATTTTTTGTTTGATTTATTTATCATCTACGGTTATCAACTAATTTTATTTCTGTAAGATATAATTTCATTCATGTTTCTCGATAAAGGTCATTCTAGCATGGATATCAAAACAATTTTCAATTAAATCCAAATTTTTTTTATGTTCAGAAAAAAAGTAAGATTAGTTCCATGATCTTTTACATCGCTTTCTTTAAAATCCATAAAAAATATATAGCTTTTAAAGATGCATGAGTGCTAATTTGTGGTTTTCAAATATTTTTTGTATTTCATTATTAATGTCGCTTCTCAAAGCGCATAGGATTATTTATATTTAGAGGGAAAAAAAGTAATGACATGATTATAGAGCTGATTGATCTTTAAATTATTCTATAAATAGCAAATAAATATTAAATTCAGAGTTTTCATTTAATTTCCATAAAAAAATTAATTCAGTACAAAAACAATTAGAAAATACATTAATAAGTGAATTTGTGGCTTATTTGAAATTTGAATGTAAAATTTATAGCACTAAAAATTTATTAAAATTGACATTAAATTCAAGATACTACAGGTGAAAGGAGAAGCTATAAATTTATTTTTAAATAGCATCATGGGCCCATAAACAAAATTAAATGTTTAAAATGCTGTTTATACCTAGTTAAAGCTTTTAATATTGTAGATAAATATCAATTCTAGCTCTATAACAGCATAAATTAAAAACATATTCAGTGTATTAAAAAATTATGGTAAAATTATTGCAACTAGAAGATTTAATTAAAAAAATAAATAAAATCAAACAGGATAAAAACATTACTAACTCATCACAAAATTTTCATTTTTTAATTCAAGTAAATAAGTGTAAATTAACAATTATTATAGTGGATCATACAATTTTTATAAGATTTCCTCAACTCAATTTTTATCATTCCATCAAAAGCTCATGGTTTAATCTTTCACATAAATATTAAATTCATGCTTTTGATAAATTGAAGCATTTTATTACTATTTCTTACACATGTATAAGCTAAATAATATTTTTTTTGTTGAATATAGAAAAACCTTCCAAATGAACTTCTCTCATTTTTTTTAGCTTTTTAATGCTTTACACAGGAAACTATTTTACTACTTAAATAATTCATTTTTCTATTTTTCAAAGAATGTAAAAAGAGGTCTATTTATTTAAGAGAATTAAACATCAGGTCCATAAAATTAATAATTATGTTAACAACAACAAAAAATATTTTTATATCCAAAAATAAATAATTGTAATTATATTTTATAATTTTTCTAATATATTATGATTAGTAATTAATTCTCATTCTTTTAATAAATATTTTAGTCCTTTAAATGAGGTTACTAAAATTTTTTGAAACAAAATATTTTTGTAGTCTTGAAAAATGGGATAATTTTATCCATTTTCAATATATAAAAAAGCAAATGATTTGAATAAAAATAATTCCTCAAATTAAATTTTCAATTATAATATGAATTCTGAAAATAAATTTAAGAAAGCCATTTTTTTATATCAATATAAAAGGAATTAATGTCTTTTTTTCTTAACTTATAAACTTAAAAAAATTAAACAATAGCAAATCATCTATTTTTAATATATTAAAATAGATTAGTGATTTTTAATAAAAAAATAAATTATTTTATTGATATTAAAAAGAAATCTTTAATAATTTTTAATTATAGTAATTTTATAAGAAGGAATATCTTATTAAATAGAAATTAAAAAAATAAAATGAGAATAGTAATTTAAAATAATTGTATTAAGAAAAAAATTATAAAAAATAGATATACCACGTATTTAATATTTTTATTTTAAAAAAATAATTAATTAATAAGTATTTATTTTTTGAAAAGATATTTTAGATATTTTATTTAAAGTCAAATTCTTATTAATATTAATTAACTAATAATTAAAAGATAAATTAGGAATTTTTATAGCTTAAAATGGCTTTAGAGTAAATAAATAATATTGAATAAGTGGAAAAATATCCCTTAGTCTATATAGCTATAGGTAATATAGACTTAATTTAAAAAGTATAAATATTTAACTATTTATACATTCATAGGTATTTAGATAGTCTTTCACTTGATTGATTAGATTCTTAACTACTTGCAACTCACCTATTCATAAGTAGACTAATCATCAAATTGGCATAATAATTTTCAATTTTTCAATTTTAACATAAAAAAGAGAAGAGATAGACCTAAAGAAATTAAATAATTAGGGTTCACAGAAAGGGAATTCGTTCTTTCCTAAGTTTACTCATTTGACAAACTGTAATTTTTCATAAAAATAATTTTGAGCTTTAAATAATATTTTAATTGCATTTAGAGTTTTTGGAAGTATTTCAAGCGCATTTAGCTAAGGTATTAAGATAGTATTTTTACTTGGCTATTTAAATCCTTTCATTTGGAATAATGTCTCCAAAATTCTCCCATTTATCGATAAAGAGAGCGAAGTAACATTTGTTAATAATTTGTTTGAAATTAAATTTATTTTTTTATTTTTAGTTTCAAAATGCCTATGGATTTTTACTTCTCCAATCATTATTAGATTAGGTATTAGAAATTCCTTTCAGTTATTTCTAAACTTTCACATTAGAGCAAAGATATGGATTCAATTAAACAACATTGAAAATATTTATCACTGATATCATCAAAAATAATATTATCAGCTAAGTTATTACAGTTGTTTTGCTCTTTGGTTATCTTAAAGTAGTAGAATATGGTGGAAAATATTTCTATTTTTATGTAATATTTTATTATTTTAAATACCTTAAAAGTGCTAAATAAAAATATTAAAAAAAGGCTCTAATTTTTGTTTTAATTGTGATATTTTTGATGATGCTTATTTATCCTAACTTCATTGCCCCACTTTTCAATAAGTACGAAGAATTACCTGAAGGAGATCTTAGAAATGGTATTAACTAATTGGCTGTACTCAATAATTTCCCTCTTACTAAAATCTATTCTGTTGATGGTTCTACAAGAAGCTCACATTCCAATGCCTATTTCTTCGGTTTTGGAAAAAATAAAAGAATTGTATTATTTGACACATTAATTAAGCAACTTAATCATTAAGAAATATATGCCGTATTATGTCATGAAATTGGTCATTGGAAGTATTCCCATACTTTTAAGCATTTAGGTGCTCTCATGGTAATTTAAATACAAATTAAGCAATATAAAATAGAAATATTTATCTATTTTTTTTTGCAAATAAACTTAGGTTAGAGTCTTTGCTTTCTTCTATTTATTTTCTTTTGTCATTTACAACGATAGTTTCTACGCAAGCTTTGGTTACTCATAGAAATCAGTAAATTAATTCGGATATTTTAGGATAAATAATAAAAATTTTAATTTTAAAAAAAGGTTTTTATTGGAACTCATTTGTTTTTTGAATTTTTCGTACCTGTAAGATTAATTTGCCATTTAATTATTTGAAAGAATACAATAATTTATTATTATTTTTAGATTAACACCTTGATGAATATTTTCACTATGACCATGAGTAGAAAATACGAATTCTAGGCAGATAATTATGCTTTCTAAATGGGTTATGCTAAATAACTTTATGCTGGTTTGATAAAAATGTTTAAAGAAAATGCTGGTAACCTCCTTCCTCACCCTATGTAAATTATTAAAAATATACATAAGTATTAACTTATTTTTTTTTAATTCAGATACTCCTGGTATCACTACTCTCATCCACCTCTTAAAGAGCGTTTGGAATAAATTGATAATCTTTTAAAGAAGTCAAATTGAAATAGTTTTATGCTAATCAATCAATAAATAAAATATTACTTTTATCTTAAAAAATAATATCTAACTTGTAAATTTTTATGTATTTTAAAAATTCGTTATTTAATTTAGAAAAATGTATGTATGTAAATGATATTATTCCATACTTATAAAATATAATTTATTCTAGAAACATGCTTTAGATTTACAATCCTATTCTATCTATCTATCTATAAAATATAAACAAAATCAACTTATATTATCAGTATTAACAAAATTATTAGATATACTTAATTTAATTAGATTTAATTGTTTACAAGTAATTTTTACATCCGTTTCTTTCTTCAAATCCAAACAAATCCACCATTAATTCAAATTATAAAATGAGTCTTGATATAAGTGAAGTTGAAAATATGAGATCAGAATTATAAAAGTATTATGAAATAGGTCCTATCAAAGCTTTAACTATTTTAAATTAGCTTTCTAAAAGGAAATTAGAGAGAGAAATATTAGTTGGCAGTAGAATTACATAAACAATAGCAACATTATCTAAAAAATTAGCGAATAGTGATGATGAAGATGACGTAGAAGTTTCTGAGCTATGTTCAAAGCTTACTTGCAAATGGAAGAGGATTTTTGAAAAGAAAAGATAGTGAAAAAGCCAATTATTCACTAAAAAATGAAAAAAAATTATTTATTAATCACATGTACATTTTTATATAAATAATAATTATATTTTACACTTTGATGGTTTTAAAATACAAGAATTTGAAATAGATTATCTAAATGTTAATTATAATATCTTAAAATAATAAAATATTTATTTATTTCCATTAAAATAATTTTGCAAATTCCAAATAATATGATTATTGTCTATTTGAAAAAGATTTTCATAAATAATTTGATAAATATTTAATATATGAAGTAATTATTTAATTCAATATATAATAATTTATTTATTTATATTTCAATAAAATGATTATTTACAATCTCATAAATAACTAAAAAACTTGCAATTTTAAATGAGTTATAATTCATTTTTCAAAAACATAATTATTAAATAAATCAAAATTTATGAAATTTGCAATTATAATTAATTGTTTAGTATTTTTATAGTTAATATCTTGTATATATTTAATTGAAGTTAAATGATTAAATATTAGAAAATGTTAATATTTCTATTGGTTCATTCTATTATTTAAACTCATAAAATATATTTTATGTTTAAAATATGAAATACTTCAAAAATGATTTTAGTTAAATTAAAAGTTTAAAATATTAATTTATATCATTTAAATTATTATACTATATAACTATCTATCTATATCGATTATTAAATATACCATAAACTATTATCTTAGAATTAAAATTTATGATAAGTTTTTTTTTTTAAATTTATTTTACCAACCAGTTAATCATTTATTTTTTTTAATTTATCTACAAATAAAATATATCAAAAAATTTACTTTGAAATTAATATGCAAATAATTATTTTAAAAATAATAATTTTTAAGTATTTTAAATTTAGGTTATTATCAAATACTTCAAACTTATTTTCCTAAAAATTAGTATTAATCATATTGTAATAATTATTTTAGTCATTTTATTCTTTATATTTTATTATATTTATTTTAGCATATCTTTAAATATCAAAAGTATTTATTAATAGTCTAAAAATAAATATTAAAATAATAAATAATCTATTGATTTTTTAAAAAAATTTATTTAAAATCATTAAAAATATCTGAAAAATTATTAAATTTAATTTAATACATAATTTTATTTTCAAACTTTTATTTTTGATTGCTTTTTTAATTTTTTAAATTTGATTATCAAATTAAATTTTACTAACAATTTCTATTCTAATATAAAAATCACAAAAAAGATCAAATTAAAATTTTATGAATTTTGTGATGGTTTTTCTCAAATATTTTAATTTTATTTTATGCCAAAAAAATAACTGATAAGATAATACATTTACAAACTAAAAAATAGAACTGTTTATACAAGTAAAAAGATATTCAACATAATTTTGATTTTTACATAATGATTGATGATAAAATTAGTGAGCTTTCAGTCTGAGTCAATTTATATAGTAGTTTTTAGCTTCACTATTTTAAAACGTTAATGGTTAATGTAAATGATATTCTAATTATCATTTTTTGGCTCTTTATTTTTTTTAATAATAATTTTTCTTTTCATGTCTTGGCAAGAGATTATCCTTTTTTTAGTTGGTTATGGATTATCAATAAATCCTTCAAATTCCAATTTTTAACTTTCTGAAATTATGCTTGATTAATTTATTATCTAAGAATTTATATTTTAAAATTCTACATCACTGTCATCATCAATGACTACAAAATTTTAACTAGTTTACATTGCATCATTTTAAAAGGTAAATGGAATTAAATCAAAAGGCCTTTCTATTTTAAGATTGCTTTCATCAAAGCTCTCATCAATTTTAAATTTATTATTTTTTATTTTGCCTTTGTATTATAGTTAGGGATTATTTGTATCTGATTCGTGATTTAATTCTTGTTATTTGTTCTATAAAATTTTATTAAAAATATTTATTTGACAATTTATTTAAAAGTATTTTACCTTATTTTTATTATAAACAAATTGTTCTTCATCAGAAGATGAAAATGAGTAATCAGAAAAATCTATGGCATTGTTCAGGACATTTTCACAGTCATAAAGTTATAGAGGATAGCTATTCTTTTTTTTCTAGTCAGATCTATGTTCTTACTTAACTATAATTTAATTCTATTCTTTATTTTAGTCACTTATTACTTATTCTTTTTTTTTATCTAATTCACTCATCGAGTAAAAAATCACTCCAGCTTTTTATGGAAAAAAATTGCTGTCCTCTAGTTGTTATTTTGAATGAATGGAATCTTCATTAAATTCTTCTATTCTTTTAGAAACTTTTTTGTATTCCTTCGCAACTTCATCATCTGATTCTTCTTTTTCTTGTTCTACTTCAAGAATGCTTCCAAAAGTAAAAGGAATTTCTTAATATTTAGTTCTTACTTTTTCTTCGTTTAGAGTAGAGCTGCTTGATAATACTTCTATTACTTCTTCTGCCTCTTATTTTTTGTTTATTATACCAAGGCCAGGAGATAATTTTTCGTTAGGTTCTATTTTTTTTTAATTTATTTTCTCTAAAGTTGTATTTATCCATTAGAGATCTTCGTCTGTGTTATTATTTTTAAAGTCTTCATCACTGGTCTAATCTAAAACAACAAATTTTTTAGAAAGATTTTCTTATGATTCTTTCAGTAAATTTTAAAGACGTTAGCTCTCTTAAAAGAAATTAGTTAACCTAATGGAAGCTTTTGAATCAAAAAATTCATTTATTTCATCAGTATATTTCTTTTTTATCTTCTCACTGCTAAATATTGCATCACAAGATTTTGTCTTTTGAGTTTTTAAATTTTTTTCCTTTTTAATGACCTTGAACTTTTTTTTTTTACTTCCTGTTCATAAAACATTTTATGAAATTTCAATAAAAATTTTCGAAAAATATAACCTTATATTGAATTTGAATTAGAAGAGCTCATGATTTAGTTTGTCTTCATACGAGTAGACTGATCATTTAATTCAGTTGAATTAGGTTAGTTTTCTGAATACATATCATCTTCTAAAAATGCTTTATTGCTTGTGTAGTGATCAATAGTAACAGATTTTTATAGGATTTGTTTAGTTTTTACTTGTATTGGATTTTAATTGCTTTATTTTGGCTTTAATATTGAATCATAAACATCTGAGAGCTTAACTAATTTTTTCTTTTTCTTTTTAATTTCGATATCTAATTTTCTTCCATCTTTTCTTCTCTTAGTAAACATATCTTCAACAACCTCTTCATATGTTTTACTTGCATGGAAATCATAGCACTGTAATTTAATGAATGTAATTTAATTTACTATTAAATATTTATTAATTTACTTAGTTGAAACCTGATTAACAAAGAGGTATTCTCATCTTAAACATATTTGAGCATGTACTGCAAGAAAATAAAGTTAATTATTTGCATTCAATGCAAGATTTTTTTTTAGTACGGGATCTAACAAGAATATGAGCTGAGTAATCACAATTTTTCATAATATGAAGTTTCATAGCTTTTTCAAAATATTGTGGTATTTTATCCACTTCAGCAGATTTATCTTTCATAAATTATTGGACTTTGATTGCGTGTTGGCTTTTAGATGGAGAATATCTAATGTTTTTATATAAAATTAATAAAAAATTCTTATAATTAAAATTTTACCTGCAAGCAAGTTCCTTAAATAGCTATATTCTAAATTCTTTTTGTGAAATTTTATATTTAGGACTTAAATTAAAATTATAAAGGATAAATGCATTAACTATCGCATTATCTAACATTCTATAAAAGACGGGCCTATACCATTTAATATTCTTCCTACAATTTCTATATGCTGCGAGATAACTGTTTCTTCTATCAACACCTCCTTTGTATTTGTTATAATAAGCGCTCTAAATTTAGGTATTTAAAAATAATATTGCTATTTTTATTTCTTATAACTTAAGCTATTAGCTTATTTGGTTGTATTTGCATTTTTCATGATAAATTTAATCAAAATAAGATTTAAAATAAATAAAAATTATCATTTAATAAAATTTTTTTACCTATAAATTTTACTCTTTGAAAATATCTCTGTCTTCTTTAACGTACGCAAGAACTCTCCAAAACTATTTTTAAAATCAATGAGTAAGAGAAAGAAAATTTTGAAAACATTTACATCATCTTTAACCTTTTTTTAATCTATGAAATTTGACATTAGGCAAATTTCTTTATCGTTTGTTCCTCTGAAGAAAATAGCCAGATTGATATCACCTTAAATGTAAGATAAAACCTTTTATATATTTTTTTAAGTTTGTTATTTTATACACAACTTAGAAATAATTTAAAACCTTATTTTGATGGACTTCCATAATTTAAGAGAGTAAATAAGGAGGTAATTTTAGACGCCCGATTCTCATGGTACCTAGAGCACCAAAAGATTTTTATTTCATCAGATAAAACAAAGTTGGACTGTTATAATAATTATCCATTACTACTTTATGAAATCTGCCTTCATAGTCTTTTAGTAAATTCATTACAACTTTTAATAATAAATATTAATTTCAAAACTGATTTCGAAAAAACTAAAAAAACCTTCATTAGTTTTGGAAAGAGTAATTTCTGGGAATTCTTCATTTTCATGGTTACCATAATAGAGCTAAGATTCTAAAGTGTAAGCGTTTTAAGAATCACAACAAACATATTCTTTGATACCAAACTAGAAAAAATTTTTTAAAACAATAAATAAAAATGATAAAAGTATACCTTATCGGGTTTATCAGGATTATAGACCTTGAAAGCGACTTTGCCATTAAAAGGTATCATACCTTCATCAATAGCTAGGAACTCTCCTGGGTAATAGTATTTCTTAAAATTTTCATTTAAATAATCCATATATTATCTAACTTTTCCAATAGGATCACTTCTGATTTTAGGGTCTTCATTATCTGCTAAATGTAAATGTTTGTCTATTTATTCAAATCTAGAATACTTCATTATGCACGCTATTTCACTATTAATATAATTTTTCCTCTTCCAATAGTCTAATTTTGCATTAAAATTTTTATTCAGAAAAGCATGGACAATATTTTTAAAAAGTCTCTAATTAAATTTTTGAAAGGTCATAAATAAGTAATAAAAAAATTATTTACCTTTAACACTTTTCATTCTTTACACACCCATAAATATCAAAATTGAAAGATATGCATCTAAATCTATAGAATCTATGTCCATAGCCTCTTTGGGAAGAGTTTTATCAGGAGGTAGATTTAGTAAGGCCTCTTAATATTTCTGATGTTTATATCGGTTAGTTTCTTCAATAATCAATTTATATATTCTATCGTCAAAAAACATTCTGAACAGATGATATGGGGAATGAGGTACATTATATGGAATAAAATCCTAATTTATTTAAATGTCAAGTTAAATTTTAATTTAAAATGAGAAAAAAAACGTTTACTCTATTCAAATCTTTATCAAATTTAGTTTTCATATAAAAGCTTTTTGGAACTTAATCTACAGAATATATTCTTCTCCATTGATCATCAATCAAATCATCTTCTTTATGTTATTGTCTCATCTGTATTTATAAAATAGCTTTACTTTAAAATTTACTAATAATTATTTTTACTTTATTTTCTTTAGAGAATTCAGTCCATCTCTTTTCCACTTCTTTTTCTATAGTTAATGGTACACTTTAATTTAAATTGCCATACTAAAAAAATTTTACCTGTTAAAGGTTTCTTAGCATCTTCTCCTTCTTAAAATTATTTTCTTTTTCTAGCTTTTCTAACTTTCTTTGATTTTTCAACTAAGTAAACATCGTTCTTTTTTGTTTTAACGATATACTATTCAGGTTAACCTATATTTTAATAAATATGAGTAAATTTAATTTTTAAAAATTAAGAATTACCTTCATAAGTTCTTTTTTGTCCTAATTTTTTTATAGTACCATCGTCATACATTACAACAGGCTAGCCTTCTTTATCTAAAGGCTAGTAAAATTTCATTTTATCAATAGGCGTGTTAATATCTCTTTTCATTTTTTAAAACGTAATAACAAATCAAAGAAAATTTTAATATTAAATTATAAAAAAAGAGGTAGCTCAGATTTTTTTTAATAACATTTTAAAATAAGTAAATGAAATTTTCCTCTCTATTGTTTAAAAAACTATTCACCTGAAAAATTTAAATATTTAAGCATAGTTTTTTTAAGAAATAACCCTTTAAATAAAAAAGATTTTTTTTTTTTTAAATTAATTTCCAAAATATTAAAAAATTAATGTTAAATATTATTATAATCTTTAAAAATGAATAAGCAGTTAGATATTTGTAAAACTTTTTTTTGGTATATTCTTTAAAGTAAAAGTAATTAATTTATTAATGCTTAAAGTACAAAAATAAATTTAAATATTTATTTTTTTTATAAACAAATTATCAATACCTTTTATCCCTAATTATATTTGGGAATATTAAAAAATATATTTTCAATATGGCAAAATTTCAAATAATAAGCTTCATTTTTCTATTAAAATAATTTTTACTATTAGGATTTTCAGTAATTTGTTATTCAAAAAAAAAAATTATTTCAATTTAAAAAAAAAAAAAATTTTTATTTATGGATACTTATGAAAATGGGGTTGGGGTTGGGGTTGGGGTTGGGGTTGGGGTTGGGGTTGGGGTTGGGGTTGTGGGGTTGGGGTTGGGGTTGGGGTTGGGGTTGGGGTTGGGGTTGGGGTTGGGGTTGGGGTTGGGGTTGGGGTTGGGGTTGGGGTTGGGGTTGGGGTTGGGGTTGGGGTTGGGGTTGGGGTTGGGGTTGGGGTTGGGGTTGGGGTTGGGGTTGGGGTTGGGGTTGGGGTTGGGGTTGGGGTTGGGGTTGGGGTTGGGGTTGGGGTTGGGGTTGGGGTTGGGGTTGGGGTTGGGGTTGGGGTTGGGGTTGGGGTTGGGGTTGGGGTTGGGGTTGGGGTTGGGGTTGGGGTTGGGGTTGGGGTTGGGGTTGGGGTTGGGGTTGGGGTTGGGGTTGGGGTTGG